GTTTAGCGAGCAAACTTAACAACATAGCAACATTGCTTTGTCTTGCAACCATATCACTAGGATGCAACTTTGGCGCCGTGGATGACTCCCTAATTTTTCTTGACCGTGATGCAACCTATTATCCTCAGGAGAACCTGAAGCTTTGCTTAATATCCTTGGACTCCGGATGGCACCCAAGGCGCCAAGACCAGGTACTGCTTTTGTAACTGCCCGGTAGCTCTGGCCATCACATGGTTCCATTGGCTTTCGCTAAAGCTCGCCCACTTGCCCCTCTTTCCATTTTTGTCTCATGAGAGGACTCAAATCTCTTCCATAGCATTGTTCTGGAACTGTTGCAAAGAGAAAGGCCAAATGAGCAATCATGAGTTCCTGGTCTCAGAAAAAAGTTGGTTCTCTTTGGGGCTTGACAAGACAAATGGGAGGCTCGAGAAAATGGTAGTTCCGGGGGGTTACGGGAGCTATGTGTTAAGCACCCTGCATCCATCCCACTGGCCTTTGCCAATGGCTACTCTGACGGTTCGAACCAAGAGGGATATGAGCACCGTTGAATGCCATCGTACCGAGAGGCTCCACTATCGCCGACGCTAAAGCAAACTAGGATGTTCCTTGATCAAAGGGTCGAGGACAATCTCTGAAAAGTGTCTGGACACTAGGAGATTAGAATATAGTAAGTACTACAGAAGAGTGTATTTGAAACCTACAAATCTGTCTCGTCAAATATTGCGCGTTAATCTACAACTGAGCGGCATAGCAGGTGCGAGGTTACCTAAACGGGGACCTACGGCTTACGACGACCTCAACTAGCCCCAGTCTAAAAAGTCTCCAGCGCTTGGATGATTCAGCTCCAGCTTGGTTCACGAAGACATCTAATTTTCCCTAGGTAGGTGGGCTCTTGAGCTGATGTCTATTTGCCGTATCTGATTTGCTGTGTTTATCGATGGTCGGTCCAGGGCGATCTTTCTTGTCATTCGATCTCTCCTTGTAAATTTGCAAGAGAGAGTTCCAAGCCGGTGGCCTGCTAATATTTGTGTTAGAGCTGTAATGCACACAATAGGTAAGATAACTAAAAGACACACATATCTATTGGTCCATCTTTTCCGCGGAGACTTTTGATATCCTTCCATATTTTTGCAACATTTTATTCATAAAAGCATCAACATTGACAGCCAGCCAAGATTGCAAGACCAACCCTGGCAACACAGCCTGCAAAGTCATTGAAGCTTGGGTGAGGACGGCCCTTTTGTCCCAAATTTACTCCTCACCTACGTTTCTAACAGTCGGAAATCGGAGTCAGGTGAAATCCAGCATTGTGCGCAATAAAATGCCGCTGTTACATTGTGGCTGGAAGCTACCTACTCCCTGTGGCCTAATAATTCCTTTATTTTATCATTTCTTGGAAGGCTTGAAGGGTCTAAGGTGGGTAGTCGACCAACTTGAAAGTACAGAGTTACGGAGCTGATGGAGGGGAGGCGTCTCAATCATTAGGTCTGGAATGCCAAGACTCACTAAATATTCAGAAGAATCTGATTGCATGATCGTGCATAGTGGATCCATCTATGGGTCTTCAGGCCATCCACAGATAGGCTTTCTTAACGAGTCTTAGGTCGTCTCGAGGACGGATAGGAACCAGGCTTTAGTGTGATAGCTCCGGCTGTGACGGCCTATGACAGAACATCGACTCGACCTGCCGCTGTTTATTATTCGACCATCTCTGGAGGTTTGCCCTTTCAACGACGCTTGTTTGTGCACCTGAAGCGTCATAATGCACAATGCAGGAGGGTTATCGCTGATGAAAAGCAACAGGATTCAGGAGCCTGCAATGGACTCGCTGGGCAATGATCGATCAGCCACTTTGCGCTTACGACCTGGGGTTGCACAGTGGTTTGCGAGAGTCGTATCCGCTTGGAGGTCAATCATCCGAATGGGCGCCGTTAGGCTGTTTCGAGTTTATTTGAACAGGGCCGGAAAGGCAGACTCAATCACATACTATCCGAACTGAGCTTGGCATGAGAAGATTATCTTGAGGTTCTGATTTGATCTCGAGTCGGGGGAAGCAAGTGAAGAAAAAGAAAATTAGCAAAAGAAAAAGGAAATACGATGAATTACCAAACACACAACATGGCTAACTGTGGATGGATCATGGATGGCTCGGGAGGGGTGGATTTGGCGCCACCCGTGGAAACAAGGCTGACGGCAGCAAGTAAGATTGGTCGAGTTCACACAGGAATGTAACCAGAGAGTCATTACTGTATTGCCTGTTTTTCTAGAGAGAACCCTCCGAAAGTATAAAAAAATGAGAAAAGAGAACAGAGAAAAGCCGACTGGACTATGAGAATAATGATAGTAAGTATGGTTCAAGAGGGATCCATCTCAACCTGCGAACTCGACAGTGTTAGAGATATACAAACTCGGCCGATCAATTCGGTACGGAACAGGCCAGTGCGTTACAGCGTGGAGGCTGTCAGGGCACGGCGCAGCTCAGTTCGTGCGAAGGAGGGTGTAAATCCAACACCCAGCGTTACTGACTGGATTGTTTGCTATCTATGGTAAGTACCCACCCTACACACTGAGATCAGATTATTATGGAGTAAACTATGATGACCATTGTTTTACTGGTGAACAGCACAATTAATTACCTTGACAGTTAAGGTACTTATCCCCATATGCTTATATGAGAGAAATAACTGGTGTGATACCTAAACTGGGATCAGCTGCCAGCTTGAACCTGGAACACGACATCTACTTCTCCAGGAGAAGAGAAGTAGACAGTGTTAAAGAAGTTAGACTACATAAGGTACATTACCTATGTAACATTATTGTTATTATTATTGCAGACATGGCAACCTAACCTGACCACTGCAGGTGTCATTATATTTCGCTAGCCAAGCAACTAACTTACTGTACAACTAACTTACTGTACGGTGCCTCTTGCTTCTGTCGCCAATCTTCATTATTCCAGACCATCCATGACCAACGATCTACTGAAAGCAAATCGTCCACCAAAAACTTAAAAAGACTAAACAACTGAAGTGCCTAGTTTAAATGTGGTGGATATCAGAAATCCAGCGATGCCAAGGATATTCTCGAGCTCTTGCGACACAAGAGCCAGAGGAGAAAAAAGAGGATCAATAACCTCTACTTTTATGAAAAAAAAAAAAAAAGAAAGAAAAGAAAAGGGAAAAAAAAAACGAAAAGAAAAGAAAAGCTCCCAACAAAGGATGGGTTAAAGGAGCCTGCTTCAAGAGTGTTTCCACCCCTAAGAAGGGTCGCATTTACCAAGAGTGGTTAATACAATCAGAAGACAGAAGAGTGGAAGCCAACTAACTATTCATTAGATGGTAATTATTCTGCCCAAGTCCAACACTTGTGCCACAGCTTAAATTGTGGGCACACACCTAGCCCAGACACATCCATTATGTTTGTATTTATCATCATTTCATGCAGAGCTCTTAGCAACAAGAGTAGTGGCAGGTCCTAATCACCTAGCTGCATATCCTCTCTCAGCTCAGTTTAGCCATCTTCTAGCCATTCCTATATCATTCTCCCTAGCCTCTGATTTAGTTAATTATTATCTGTAACAATAGAAATACTAGTAATAATAATAAATGTGATCATAATACCACACACAGTACTCCGTACGTTGGCCCTACTGCCTACTATAAAGGCCGGAGATTATTGGACCACTGATAGATGTACTCCTCAAGACCGTTTCCTTTCGCACCCCTCTTCTTCAATTTATCCTCGTACCTTGTGTCTACAGTATATGGAGTCTTGATGTGTACTCTTGAGCACAGCTATTAAGGAAAGGGACGCGAACTAAGGCCAGAAGGAAGCTCGACTCCCAATTCCTTTATTTCATCCCAGCTAGTCCACTGGCGGCTTTCTCCGATCTAAAACTGGGTTGCTTTTTCTCACTTTGTTTGCGTTGCCTCAGTAGACTGAATGAGAAGGAAGTCTGACTCTGTCTACTCTTCTCTTTTCTATTATTACCAATCCTTCTCCTACACTCTCTCGACTTCCTCCAGTTCGGGCTCGCTGTGACTTCGATCGAACTGACCACACACTTATTTTCCCTTTTCTCTTTCATAGAAAATGGGAGAGGAATACTTCGACTACATGCAGTGATATCAGGTTGGTTTACTCCTGGTGTTCCTTAGTCTGGCATTTCATCTTGCTCTATTTCTGCAAGCTGCACATCATCATCCACCCCAAACATACTGTCCGGCAAGAACCTAAACAGATTGAGCTCTTGGACTGGATCCCATCGAGTCATTTTGATTCCTCGCTTCCTCACTCCCTCGTTTTTGTCACATTCTCGCCTCTTTCCACTCCTGCATCCTGCATCCATCCTAGTCAATATTACACCACCTTCCCGCTAGTGACAAGCTCATTTCTGATATACCCTGTTTCCCACCACTCAGCAGCTCCCTCTGGCGCTCTCCTAGTCCCCTTCAGCTTTGTTATTATTATTATTTTTTTTATTTCCGCCGTTGCTCTTCTTTTTTCTTTATTATTATTTTATTTTTCGTCCACCCTGCCCTTTTAGTGTCCAGGTCTTCGATTCGCCTCCGGTCCTGATCTGGGATCGCTCGTGCTGGTGCTGATGACCCGTCTGCCTGCCTGAAGGACGGGCCTCGTGTGCAGCTAAATAACCACCCTGGACCCTCCACATTACCACTGCAACCGTTGACACATTCTGAGAGCTCTTCCTCTCCTCTCATACCCCAGTTTAGAGCCACTCAGCTCCTTCGGGCCACTCCCGTCGTCGTTCAGCCTCCCTTTAGCTTCCGTTCCGTCCCAACTCTGTCTATCTGTGATAACGTTTCGGAGTTATTGTTCTTGTTTCTCAAACTAACCTTCACCAAGCTCTCGCCGTTCACACCCCAAGTCTCCTCCTAAACTCCAGCAACAATACATTGAGATCATAGAAGGCCGGCAGAAGAGCAGAGGAAAGAAGCCGATTCTTCACCCGAGGCCACTCTAGGTCACTCACGACCGGCATGGTTCAGACTGAACTAGGTCCTCTACCTGCACCCAGATACAAGGACGAGCCTGTCGACGACCATGTAAGTTCCACTGTTACTTTCACCCTCTATTTTTTTTCTTTTATGTCTGTCACCTTGTTTTGTTCAAGGACAATCCCCGCATCTTTTGCCCTCTTGCCAACGTTGGTGGAATAGCGTTGGATTGCATTGCCTGTTGCAAACACATACAGCAGGCCGCTGTTTATCTAAATCTCACTTCGACAATCCGTCTGTCCCTGAATTGTCCGGCGTCTCTTAGCAGCGTGTTCTTCAATCGCGCGGTTACACTTCTATCTTCTGCAAGGCCCATTCCTTTGCTAGAGACGTGTTACTCTTGCTGCGTTTCCGTTCGGTACCCTCTCTTCTCAGGCATCTTAGCACTTCCTTGACAACATTTTGCCGAAGCCACGAAAATAGGGAAGGCCTAACCACAGTTCCGCCTTCCTCTGCTTGAGTGATGTGCAGGCTGATGCTTGGTTGGAAGTCATGAGTGTCAACCCCAGGGTCGTCGCTCATGGATCTCCCAACTGGCTTGTGTCGTCAACAATGGTCCCATGGGAAAGGGTCTCCAGTGCCTCTCGAGAGGGAGAATGCTGCACACAACTCTCATACTCAGCGTCTTCTCTTCAGGACACAAAGCCTTCCATTACCAGCCTGGACATAATTAAATGCCGCTTGTCGCAGCACATCATGTTGATCAAGACGCCTCATACACTTTTTAAACTTTGATCTCTGAAGTTTGAGCTTTGACTGACCCAGCCGTCATTGGACTTTCAGATCAGGCATTCGGCGATTGGACACTCAGGTCTACATAACTCTCATCTGCAACACCCTCGTTCAGCAAGCCTTGCGCAGCCGCCAAAACAGACAACTGGTTCTCCTCTTCAGCCCACCACCTCTCTACCTAGTGCACCTAGTGCACCATACACGTCCCAAGCATTGGGGAACAGCATTTTGCAACATCATACCGCCCATTACGCTCAACCGACACACGAACAGAACTACTACTCCTCCAATCCTTCCTACAGCACAGCATCTGCATCCGGACAATATTCATCTAGTGGTATGTGACTCTGATGCCAACCGTTTTATCAGGGTACAAAGCACGCAGAAATTGCCTTTTACAGACGCTGATACCCTGCTAGGCCTTCCTGATATCATGGCGTCCACCGCTCAAATGCAGAGGCCTTATCCTCCGATTTACCACACTCCACAGTCAAGCTCTCCGGCATCAGTCGCTTCTCAAACACATGATCAACATAGCCGAGGACTTTATGCGCAATCACCGCAAATGGCGCCACAGATGTATGGGTACCAACCATATCCATCTATCAACCCTGTACAGCCTCCTCCTTACACAGCGCACACGTCTTCCCAACAGCACCCCCTCACATCGCAATCCATGATTTTACCTCATACAAGCACTGCACAGCTATCTCACCAGCCTCCCCAAGCATCGTCTGTTACTATGGCCCCCAGTCCAATTGCTGTCACAGCGTCTCAACCGACGCCACCGCAGAGAGCAGTGTTGAGCCCACCGCATTCTGCATCGGCTGGTGGTCCCCTTTCCGCCAATAGTATTCATCATACAACTCCAAGCGTCGGTGCAAGCTCCAGCGCAGCACCGGGCCCAATTCCAGCGACAACTCCTCTCGTAGTGCGACAAGATAGCAACGGAGTACAATGGATCGCGTTTGAGTATTCTCGAGATCGTGTGAAGATGGAATATACTATTCGGTGTGACGTCGAATCTGTTAATGTGGACAACCTTAGCCAAGAGTTCAAGACAGAAAACTGTGTCTATCCTCGGGCCTGCTGCAGCAAGGATCAATACAAAGGCAATCGACTTGTTTATGAGACGGAGTGCAACGCCGTCGGTTGGGCTCTTGCTGATTTGAATCCCGCGCTGAGAGGGAAACGTGGACTCATTCAACGAGCCGTCGACAGCTGGAGGAACAGCAACCAGGATCCTCGACTTCGAAGCCGACGCGTGAGGAGGATGGCCAAATTGAACCGGCGTCAGGGGCTCCCTGCGCAACCACCTAGCCACATGGCTGCTGCTCCCCCTGTCCCTCCGGGCATCCCAGGTGGTCTTGCAGCGCCCAGTCCCCGTCCCGGACTTGGGCCGTTGCCTATGGGACCCCCACAGCTACACCATCACCATGCTCAACCTGAAGGTAGTGGAGGCAATGAGGATGTCAGCGGTATGTTTCACCACATGTGATGTGTTTGAACTTCATTCCATTCTATAACTGTTGTTGGATTTGACAACGGCGTCTATGATCGATAATCATGTAACAATCTTCATTGCACGACGCTTTCGTATGGATACCACTGGCTGGGTGTTTCTTCTTTCCCCTCTTCATTGCCTTTACTTACCTTCAGAAAAAAAAAAAAAGCCCTTCCCTTCTACCTTCTGCATATATTCTTGTCGCCCTTGGTATTGTCATACCTGATGTACTTTTATTATCTTCTGGAGTGGTTTTCTTCTCTACTGGCAACCCATACCCAATCTCGCTCTGTTTATTGTGTCAACATGGGTGCTGGAACCCTCTACGCCTGGAACTATGATGTGCCATGTGAAGCTGAGCGTAGGCTAATATATATACTGTCATACTATGCATAATATAGGTACCACTGAGTTTTCGAACGGTACCGATCGTCAGCCTGCTGCTGCGGAGGCTCCCCTCACATCAGGACATACAGTCACAGATATCCGCACCGCACAGGTCTTCCATGGTTATACTACATTCCCTACATCTGCCAATGCAGGAGACGGATCTAGAGGACCGTCGATACCCCCCTTGATACGAGACAGTGGACTGGGAAGCCTAGGGAGACGCTCGGCGGTTGCGACTTCAGTCCATAAGGCTGAAGAAGTCGAAGACGACGATGACGAACGCAATCCAAGCCAGGAAGCACTCTTCGGAGCATTGCCTGACGGGAAGCGGCGCAAATTCATACTTGTTGACGACCCGCAAAGGGGTTGTCGCGTCCGTGTCAAGGTTATGCTGGACCAAGTTAACATGAACGAAATTCCCGATTCATACCGGATGTCTAACTCGGTGTATCCCCGGACCTACTTCCCCGTGCAAATGAAACATCCACGTGGCCGAGTCGATCTTGGAAGAAGATATTTCAAGGATGACCGCCAAACTGATGACGACCAAGAGACTGCGACAGTCGGAAGGATCCTAGTTCCAGCACCCCAGGCAGATGATGGCGGCGAAATCGCCGTTCCTAAGCTGACTAGAGGACGGCACAGGAAGGAGGTTCTGCTTAACGACTTGGGTTACCGAATGAGTTGGAGTCAAAGTCGAGTCTTCGCTGGGCGGCCGTTGTTTCTTCAACGCTCTCGTACGTTGCTGTCCCACTTGCTACACCCCTTGCTGTGTGGCGGACGCATTCCCGCTTGTGCTAGTGAAGGAATACTCAATAGCTAACTTTATCTCCTTGCTTTCTTTTTTGGGAACAGTTGACGCATACCGGAACAAGATGCGCAGCACCATGCTAGCTGCAGGCCGAGACCCCTCCTCCATTCCTCGCCATTTCGAGACCCGGGCCGGAAAGCGAAGGTTCCTCGAGCGCAGGCAGCGGCAGGGGGTGTCTGCATCTCAACGGAGCGCAGAAGAAGTTGAAGCGTGAATGGAACAGATGTGGCATAGATTTTGTGCTAACAACTTGGGGCTGTCGCATTCTATGATTGTTCTATGATGTTTTATGATATGGCCAACTACTTGCTACGACGCTACGACGTGACGACCGTATGAAAATACCGAGTTTGCCGTACTGTCGAGCAGACAGCTTCTTGGCATTGTGATTACAGACGCCCAGGAAGGCGGACTTGATCGTTTTGAAGTCTTCATGTTGAAGGAATGAATGGGTCTCATTTAACCGGGCAGGCGTTTTGAGATGATATCTGAATTCTGTGATGATTATACAATGACTGTGATGACCGTGAATATAAGGTACCTTATGGATGTGAAAATGAATGCAATATTTTATTTCTTCTCTTCCGAGGGCTTTTTCCCTTTGGCCCGTTATTGCAATCGATCGTCAAGAGTCGAAGCCTCATGACTGAGACAGAAACTGAGACAAGCAATGATCACATGCGGTATTTGAGCCAATCAGGATACTTTTCTGTTCACAATAAATGGAAAGCCTAAGCCAAAGAGTGGAAAGATGCATGGTGCGGCATGGAAGGTACGTTGCCTAATTGAGTTAGATGGGGTTACCTCTGTTCCGGAAACGCCAGTGGTAAAAATAAACCAGCCGCAGGAGGAAGGTACGACTCGTCTGTCTCGCATCGGACTGCATCCGCTCATGCGGTCCATTGCATTTTGTATCATTGTCAGTGAATTAAGAATGGATAGTTTCTCGGTCGGCAGTTGAAGGTTTCAGATCCTCCAAGTGACAGGAATATTAACCTCTGTTGGATGGCATCAATCAATCGACTCGACCTATCTAAACCTCGGTATGGTAGAACATGTCATGTAGTTCACCTGTCAGACATATGTATCTACGTATTTCCCTATTTGATTTCTACCATTTCATTAGGTTGTGCTCATTGTATTTCTCGTGTGGCGTCAAATAGTATAAATTAAAAAGAATTAATCTATTGATATTGCCGGCTGCAGCAAATGAAGTCGAGTCTGACTCCGTAATTTTCGCTTCTCCAGTTCTCCAAAGCTGGGGTTTACCGCAACCAGGGTCTTTATACTTTGAAAAGGGAAAAAAGAGTCCCTGACAACGTGGATCCCAGACCCTGAGCGGCGGATCAGCAACACATTGATGGGCTTGAGATCACGATAAATACTGGATTATGGGAGGCAAATATGACAGAAATACAGTAAACCAGTAAACAGTAAAAGAGTGCATTTTAAATAGAGGGAGAGGTATATTTGGAGTGAATTATTATTGACAGGCAGGTTGACAGACAGCACTAAATCAGGTTGTCGGGGCCACCGGCCGACCGTCATCTGCATCAACATCGTCGTCTGTGCTTGATTCAGCAGTTGGAAAGTAAGATCATAACATACGGTATTCCGCATGCAGTTACTGGTTTTCCTTCCCCTCACATTGCCCCTTTCATGTTCGCGAGTTGGTCATTTGAAGCGACCTTGTCTTCTTTGTCTGTTTGGATTCCACCTTGCTCCTACACTTGGTCAACTCTAAGTCTTGGGGGGTTATTCTATTTCCTGTCCTCCGTATCGGCATCGACATCGACATCAACATCAACAGAGACGACTATTGCGATGCTAGCTTAGGCTTCCACCTTCTGGCGTTTTTCTTCTCGCATGATCTGACTTAGTGAGTGTTTCTCTGATACAAGTCTTACTGGTGTCTTCCTGTTCCCAAAAATATCCTGTCAACCGTCGCATTCTTCTGCCATGCAGCCCATGCTTATTACGGAATGCTCTTCGCCCCGGATCTGTCTAAATAAGGGCATCTTTCGACTTATCGAAAGTTCATGAACCTGCAGTCAATATTCTGTGCTCCCAAGCCCCAATCGCTTCATATTCGCACCTTCTTTGTTCTTCCTGCCTGTTCCTGAAATATCACAAGTTCTCCGCCGTCATCGCTTTGAACCGTGGTTCGACTCGGTGGCCCTGTCCCGCTGATTTAGTACCTAGGGATTATTATTAGGAGGTGTCGGTTTCAAAAAAAAAGGTCGCGGCCTGGACCGGATTAATTAAACGTGATCGGTCACTCTGATTAACTTTCTGGCACAGCCCGGTTATTCCATCAATCTGCCTCCTTTGCTAATTCCAGAACCATCTTACCTTCCCATCATTGGAAGTCGAAGCGGACATCGGTCGTTTGTCTTGACCTACAATAACTACCATTTTGTGTATTGGAAAGTGCAGAAGAATCCATACTGAGGAATACGGGAGTGCTAGTTGCGCTTTGAACCATGTCCGGTCCCAACCGGACTTACAGTTTTGGCGAGGGCGACGACGGTTCAGCACATCCATCTTCCAGAACTCATGCCATGCACTCGCAGTACGACGATGTTTCCCCGATCTCCGACGGAGCCCGTATGAATCCGATAAATGGTCAGGGAATGGATCACGGACTTGCCTCAGTGCCGGAGGACGGCCATCAGGGATGGGGTCGGGGTCCAGAACCGTCACCCTCGATACTTACGGGTTCTTCAGCGACCCCAGGGATGGATAATCTCGGGCCAAGCGCCGTGGGAGGCGGCATTAGCGGTATTGCTCTCAGTGTTGCCAATAGCCACGATCGTTTGAGTGGAATGGAGGCCCTCGTGGGCACAGACGGCCAGGAGGCTAATATTCCTGCAGAACGAGGGTTCAGCACCACGGGCTCCGATAGCCCATACGTCCCTGCGCCGCCGGAGCATCGATATTCGTACGGTTCCAATGTCGCTTTGGGGGCAGCCGCTGCCCCGGCTGGACAGTTGACCCCGGGTCAATCCGTTTCGCATCTTAGCTCGTCGAATCCATCGCAACGCAACCTCTATGATATCCCATATCAGGGTGTAGGGGGTCTGAACGCCGGTCCCTACCAACGGCACTCGGCTTATAGCTCGAACGATCTTCCTGTTGATATCAATCCAGATGAGATCGTCGATGATGGTGATGACGGTTTTGTGCCGGCGCCGAACTCAAGATCTAGTGCTCGCAAGTCTCAGGCCATTCCTGCGGCGGCTGGAGGTGCTGCAGCAGGTGGGGTTTTGGGAAATCTGGGAGGGCTTTTCGGGGGAAAGAGTGCTGCCGATACATCGTACGGACCGGTTCCAGGAGCAGGTCTCGAGGCTGGAGAGAAGGGTCGCTGGGTCAAGCCGAAGCCAGGAGGGGGTAGCAAGAAGCGCGGATGGATTGTGGGGGCGATCCTGGCTTTCATCATCATCGGGGCCATCGTAGGAGGTGCGGTCGGTGGCACAATAGGCCACAGAGGCAACGAGGAGTCATCCTCGGCTTCCTCCTCTTCCACAGAAACGGCCACCGGCGACACAAGCACCAACGGGGATCTGGATAAGAACTCTGCCGAGATCAAGGCCCTGATGAACAACAAGAATTTGCACAAAGTCTTCCCTGGTATTGATTACACCCCGTGGGGTGTCCAATACCCTCTGTGTCTTAAGTATCCTCCATCTCAGAACAATGTGACCCGGGATATGGCCGTGCTCACGCAACTGACAAACAACGTGCGACTCTACGGTACGGACTGCAACCAGACGGAAATGGTCCTTCATGCGATCGACAAGCTCGAAATAAAGGATATGAAAATCTGGCTAGGTGTGTGGATCGACAGTAACGAAACGACGTCAAGACGGCAAATAGACCAATTGTACAAGATTATCGACGATGCCAAGGATACTTCCATCTTTAACGGGGCCATTGTTGGTAATGAAGCCCTCTATCGAGCAGGCAGTGACAAGACTTCCGCGCAAACGACCCTCATCAACTACATGCAGGAAGTGAAGGACCACTTCAAAAAGAAGAACATTGATTTACCAGTTGCAACATCAGATTTAGGTGACAACTGGGACGCAACCTTGGTTCAAGCGGCAGACGTTGTCATGGCGAACGTGCACCCGTTCTTCGGAGGCATTCCGGTCGATCAAGCTGCGGCTTGGACGTGGCAATTCTGGCAGGATCACAATGTCGCCTTGACCAAGGGCACCAGCAAGAAGCAGGTCATCTCTGAAGTCGGCTGGCCCAGCGCCGGAGGAAACGATTGCGGGCTTGGTGCTAACTGCCCGGACGACACCGCTGGTGCAGTGGCTGGCATCGACGAGATGAACAAATTCATGGAGGACTGGGTCTGTCAAGCCCTAGAAAATGGCACGGATTACTTCTGGTAAAGACACTAAAACACACCCTAAGCAGTCAGCTAGTTTCGAGCACAGCGGCTAACAAGTTTGATAGGTTCGAGGCATTCGACGAGCCATGGAAGATCGTGTACAATACTGGGAACGAGAATTGGGAAGACAAATGGGGTCTCATGGACGCGGCTCGTAACCTCAAGCCTGGCCTCAAAATTCCCGACTGTGGCGGCAAAACGGCCACTCGATGACTGTGATGCTCCTTTTTTCGATTTGACGCTCGATACAATAGCTTTTGGCACCCTTTTCCATCCATCTATCTTCGCATATGAGCCCTCTCGCAACCCTTTTCCTTCTACTGCTATACATGCGTGACGACGCATATCCTGACGAACCTTTACAAGTCTTTGGCTTTTGGCGTTGGCGCTGCTTTTTCTTCTCTCCTTGGTTGTGTATGTTACCACTTGTTGAATATTCTCTTCCTCGGTCGGGCCCGGAGCTCCAACCTCTGGTTGCGGCTGATTTCGCACGGCTTTATTGGAAATTTGTCTCATATTGCAGATGGACACTCCTTGCTATGATGATTGAATGCAAGTCTGTATATACCATAGCAGGCTCTCGCTGGGGTTGAATTGGACGACCGCTGAACCTGTGGAATGCTGAGTTATTTTTGATTATAAGAGATGACGATCACCATTGTGACAGTGGTAGTAGTCTTCTACTTTGCATACTTTTATATAATCATGAATCATCAATACTGTCTCTATGGATACAAAGGGGTATATGCTAGTCTATCTGAATACCGAACGTAGAACCCACCAAGCTCGTTCCAATCTCAGTCCGTCTTCAAAAGGTACAAGCGCATATTCCAAAACGCATGCTCATTGGTTTCAAACGTAGGAACTCGCACTGACTCCCTCGTGCCGAGATACCGATCCACAACCTCGGACTCGATCCCCTCCAGGGGACCCCCGAAGAGCAACGGCGGATCCGAAGCAAGCAATTGCTCAAGATGCGTCCGCTCCGCACCGGGACAATACAGGAATGACCTATTGGAGGCCTTTTCAAACCCCTCGGGGTGATCGAGGACGGTGATCCCGAGAGAATTGAGGAGCGACCGGTCGAGCTGGTTGAAGACTGGATCTTGGGCGTAGGCGATGATCGAGGGACAGTATTTCTCTAATCAATGGAGAAGTGCACCCGTCAGTCGAATAATCTTTTCATACGAGGCGCATGAATATACTGTTCGCAGCGATCGACTTACTCATCAATCCCGTTACGCCCACCAACGCAGCGAGCTGATACAGCGACACACTCCGGCGATCTACCCAACCCCCTCGCAGAAACCCGCTCGGGCTTCCAAGACCAATGCAGACGATGTTCTCCAGCGGAGTTGCGCGGGGATCTGGATCGGAGATCGAACTGCTCCCTTCGAACCTCCTCCGGAGTGTATCCGCCATTACGCGCCAAGTCTCCGACCCCTCCCATCTCTCGCGATACCCATTGAACTGGGTTTGAAGGTCGTCGAGGGTCAATTGCGAGGGAGCTTCGGCTGGGAGCAGCGCTGGAGTTGTCGATTGGCCTCCGTCGGCGCTCTGGTTTGGGCGCAGTGCCCGTCGCACGTTTTTGTTGGTGGTGACGTGCGTCCAGCCGTCTGCGTCTGTGACTTGCAGGCGTTTCTGCTGCTGAAGTTTGGAATCGGGTTTCCTGGGACGTCGTGTGTGCGGCATCTTGGTATATGTGTGGTGTTCTGGTTGTCTTCAGGGGGTATCCGCTATGATGTGATGCTCATACTTGGGAGGTGATTTTTGTTATCTTTATCGGGATGGTTATCGGTGGTGGGGTGGACCGTGGAGCTTATCGTGTATCTTATCAGTTATCAGTTATCGGACCTTTTGAGTCTCACTCTCGTCTTCTTAAGTCTCATGAGCTACTCCGTACCTTACCCAAAGAGTAAGAGAATGTGCGCTAGTTTAGTGAAATTGTCATGTCAGCTTGGACTATGTACACAATTGGAAATAATACAGGATTTGATTGGTGTCCATGATGCTCAAACTACGAGCTCCGGATGAGCTGCCGGACCGTGCTACCCTCAAACCAGAAGAACAGTATAATCGCTACGGAGTATTTCAAGTCCAGTCAAAAGATGAGAAAATCGAGATGTCTCAGTCATACTAATCGCGGGTATTCTCGAGACTTTCAAGCGACGTTACTCCCTCGAATTGATGATGTGCATATCCATCACAGTTGATCGCCCCCTTCTGCTGCACTCACGAAGGATCTCTAAGCGCCCAGCCCCATGACGGCTCCCCTCTTCTAGCGTTAAGATAGGGGCGCTTCCACCTCCTTTGCTCCACGAATCATCGGCGCAGAATGGCTTCAATCATCCCTGCCAGGACGTGATGCCACTTGCAGCCCAGCGTCTTGGAAGGCCCCTCGATCCAATCCGACGACAAGATTGGTTGTCCCCTCACAGGCGCAACACTGCCAATTCTCAACGGACCTCTCAAGCACAGAGGAATGAGGCAGACGCTACCGCCAACTTTCAATCTTTCAACCTGCGGGTGTGGTCACATCAAAGTCTCCTGCATTCTCACTCGTCCAATTTTTGTCACCTTCCTGCGGTAGTCAAGTCAGGATGTGAATGCTGCTGCAGGACCTGGCCTTCGGGCTTTATTCGCTCTCTTTCAAAAGGACTTGAACACCCTCCCTATTTGGTTCCTCTGGCTGCTGCTCGCGAAGCTTATTTTCCTTTCCTCTTTGATGATGATCATTTTCTGCGGTTCGGACGGTTGAACTGTTCGCCAACTGCTTGACTTGACTCGAACACTTCCGTAGGAGTTTCACATCCGAAAAGAAGACGGCCATTCTCTTTTGTTTGCAGGACTACTTCTGCTGTTGCAGTTGACTTCATTATCCCTTGCCTTCCGTGAAGATCTCACATACATCATGGTGCTTCAATTTTCGATATCACAATGGGCGGCGCTCATCGCACTGCTATGCGCTGGACTGGCCAATGCCCACACCGTCATCACATACCCAGGCTACAGAGGAAACAACCTCCACACCAACGGCACTGTCGAACAGTCAAATGGTTTGGGGCAAGCTGAAGTTAATGGCTCGCTAATCTTCCCCTACGGCATGGAGTGGATGTATCCTTGTATGAACAACCCGGCTAGCCTTCGAGTCTGTCCATGAACGTGTGCACAGCTAATGAATTATCGTATCATTTCTGCAGGCGGAGGTATGCCGACAACCACTAACCGAACGAAATGGCCGGTCGGAGGCGGCGCTGTTGCCATCCAACCTGGCTGGTTCCAGGGTCATCAAACTGCCCTCATCTACATCAATCTGGGCCTGGGCACAATCCCTCCGAACATGAGCCATCCTATGGTCGCTCCCTTCCAGATCACAGGTCCCACCAATAACCCTTATCCTGGTACTATCTGTCTGCCACAAGTCCCTCTGCCGGCAAACATTAGTGTGAAGCCAGGGGACCACGCCACTATTCAGGTTATCGAGACTGCCAAGCACGGTGCAGCTTTGTACAATGTATGTCCCCAGCTCTTTGCCAAGTGGCTGAACCTGACCATGATGCAGTGCGTGGACATTGAATTCGCCGAGCCGTCGGAGGTAGAGGAAGTGACGCGTAACAACTGCTTCAACTCAAGCATCATCAGCTTTGGCGAGGTCTTCACAACAACGTCGCTCACATCAGCGGCAGCGCCCAAGCCGTCGCTGCTGAGCGTGCTGCCTGTTTACATGGTAGCATTGCTCAGTTGGGCGATGATGTAAATATTTGTTTTACTTTGGCTTTTGTGGCTCGTTTTTGCATTACATACCCAGTTTGAGTATACTATTTCATGAACTTTGCGAGTCTTCTTGTCTATGACACCTCACACTTTCCTTGTGAGCCACGCATTCTTATTGTACAGGCGTTATAGGTTACGAACCCCATTACCAAAGCAGATACTTGTTGATCAAAAGTCAATGTATGGCTTCAGACGCTAATTGACCAAATATTATTTACCATATGTCCAAACACAAATTTACAAAGTTCATTACGCGTTCATTCGAGACTACGCACCAGGCGCAGAATCGCATTGGCAACCTCATCTGGACTCTCCTGGGGCGCCCAATGCCCAACCCCATCAATCAACCTCAGGAACCTAAAATCTCTGCACACCTCCCCATTCACCATCTTCTCCATCGCCCCTGGTTCCTGGTAGATCCCCCAGTCCATCTTCCCCGACACAAAAGCACAAGGCACCTCGATTTTCTTCCCCGCGAACGTGTCGAAATCCTGCGTGAACCGACCGTCCGCCGCCGTCCGCACTCGATACCAGTTCAACCCGCCCTGGAACCCCGTCCGCCCATACTCCGCCACATAAACGTCCAGATCAGAATCCGGCAGCCAGGCCTGCGAAAGCTGCTGGGCTTTCTCCGGCTCGTTTTTCATGTCGAGCGCGATGGCTTCGGGCATGGTAGCGTCTAGCGGCATGATATAGTAGAACGGTAGTCGAAGTAGTTCATCTGCTGTCCAAGACTTTAACGGACGCGGGTAGTTGCGCGCGCACGAGCCGCTCTTGAGGTGAAAGTATCCGCGCAGGAACTCGCGGAGTCGGCCCGGGGGAAGGCTCATCTCGTTGCTTGCAGAGGCGGTGGAGTAGTACCATTTGTAGTGTCTGCGGCTGCGCTGGGCCAGCTCGGCGTGGATGCTGTTGCTGGCGGAGGATTCCATGCCGCTCCCGCTCCCTGTGGTTCCGTGGACATGGTCAGGGTTGTTTGCAGTGTTGAATGGTAGCGATGGCGTGCCGTTGAACGGATGGCTCAGCAGGAGCACGCTCTCGAAGAAATCTGGCCGGATCAATGCGCACATGGCGGCGGATACGGCGCCGCAGTCGTGGCCTACAACGCAGCGCACGGAGCGGTACCCCAGGGCGTGGACGAGGATCACCATGTCTCGTGCTAGCGAGGTGAGCGAGAAGGTGAACAGGTCTACCTCGTCGTAGCTGCGGGTGTCCCAGCCTGTGGTGCGGCCGAATCCGCGCTGGTCGGGGGCGACGGCGTAGTATCCTGCTTCTGCTAGACGGGGGAGGATCTTACGCCATGAGAAAGCCAGTTCGGGGAAGCCATGAAGAAGCAGGATCAGAGGACGGTTGCGGTCCGGAGAATAGCCGGCCTCGAGGATGTGGAAGCTGAGGGCGGAGGTGGAGACGGATCGACTGGAGACATTAGGGGGAAGGGGGAGGGATGCCATCATTATCTAGATATCACTTTGCTTTGGACGTTGATGGAGAGAAGGATCTTCTGTCTACCATGCAACAGTTAGCACGAGCTTTGTGCATTCGGATGGTATGGATCTATAGATTTTGTGGCCTGTTTCTGTAGATCTACATTTCTCCACGTTAACGCCGAGTATATATGATGGAGTCTCCATAATGATCAGCCTTATTGATTACCCGAAAACCAAGGCATAAATTAAAGGCAATAAGGCAGACACAGTTGTTCATTGGTAGCCTTACTCCGTATTTTCAAGGTACCACTAGCTGGAGTTGACAGATGAAACCTCAGGCACCGACACACCCACACCCGCATACATCATCGATCGATGCCTTACAGAAGACATTCAATCCTGCAGCAACTCTGCAGTACGTAAGAAGACCCTAATTTATCAGTCTTGGGGAACTTTAGATCCTCATCGAGACAAGAAAAAAGCTAAAAAAGAGACGATCCACCAGATGACCCAAAGGAAAAAAGAAAAATCGGCAATGCTCAATCACTCATTGACCTGACTTGGACCGGCCTCTAGTCCATGACGCAAAGCGTGCCCCTTCGATCCGCACTCTCTCACATTTTGCTCTGGATCGGCATTATCCCCCTTCTAGGGAGTAGGGACTGGCAACTCCCCTCTGTTCATCGTCATTCGGAACTGACTTACTTGATTTCTTCATTCAGTTTCGCATCAATTTCTTCCTTCCCTTCTTTCGCCCCTGTTCCTCTAATACGTCTCCGTTAATACATTGAGGGAATCTTCCGCCCTTCTTTTTCCGCATTCCCCCTCTCGCTGACAACGCAGCACAATATTGCCAGGCCGTCCGAAGGCTTTTCGAACGTCACGGAGTTTACGGCTAGAAGACCACCAATATATCCGTCGCTGCTCTGCGTGATATACATTAAAGTGCAGTGATAGATAAGGCACGAAGAGAAACCCGTGTCTTTGTCGACATTAGCTTCCATGTCCGCCGTTTAAGGGCGGACGCGACGATATCGAGTTTCTTTCGCTGGAGGACCCAACATGTTCCGCAGAAAGAGAAGCACATCTCGTCATCAGGTGAGCTTTGCAATCTAGGCGTATTTCGCATATTGAATTGGTTGAAGCTGATTCTCATTGCTATTCCCTAGCCTCTCTCCACGGTTAATTCACAGTCCGCCCAGTCCGCTGCCACCCATGCCTTCCTTAAATCCCAACCCTCCTCAAGCAGCCTGTCTTCTGCTGCGGCGGCGGCTGCTCTACGAAGTCTCACACCTACCCCGACGCCCGTCGAAAATGTCCAGACAAAGAGAATGATTCAAAGGCGGGCCTCCGTAACTTCGCAAACCAGCATGACGGGTAGCCTCCGTCCAGCCAGCAGGACAGCCCTTCGTCGCAGCAATAGCTCAAGCTCCATGAGCAACAGAACGTTCCGAGAACAATCTCCGCGCCGACCGGCTACCAGTAACGGCCAAGTGGATGTCGTTCCGCCCTTGCCCTCCATGCCTCAAGGATTCGGAGGCCGGAAAAATCCTGGTCGACGCTCCGTCAGCCTGGAGCCAAGCGTGCGGTTCAATTCCTCGCCCACAAATAAGACGCCGGGTCGCGGTATGAGTGTCGACAGGTCGCTGCGATCGCCGTCCAGCCAGTCACCCCTCCAATCCCAACCATTGTCTACCGTTCCTGAGCTCGAACGAACAAGCAGTCGGAACTCAATCAATTTCTCATATCCGATGAATGGTCGACCAACTTCCCCAACTGTCTCGCGTCCGTTTTCCACCCAACATGAGGCCTTGGCTAACGTGTCGCTCAATCATGAGCTGTCACCCGCCACGTCCCCGAATGCTCGGGTAGCGAAAAGCCAGGAAATGAAGAAGACAGCTGGGCTCGTTACCGGAAGCCCCGGGAGGACTGCCTCTTCTGTTGGTACCGCTGTCGCAGCTGCACAGGCTGCTGTGGTACCCAAATCCGATGGAACGGGTCACTCTCCTCTGGCCAGTCGCTTCGTCAATCATCGAGAAGCGGCCACTAATACACATGCGCAGAGTCAGGCCTTGCGACAAGTATCCTCATATGCGACGGGACCTAAGCAGACACCTACCGTACCGGAAGAAGACCCCCAGGGTGAAGAACGCGCGGGACCTGATGGAATCGGGAGCCGCTTCAATCATCCGCGCGGTGGAAGTGCTTCGCCTATCGACGACTTTGTGCCCAATTCTTTGGAGCACTTGTATGCAGCGGAACCTTCAATTATCAGAACGCCAGCCACACCGGACGACAAGGATGCACGCCCTACTTACCCTGTCCATTCCGCGGAGTTAAATGAATCGGCAAGGCTAGAGAATGGGCTACAGCAATCCCCCATCCGTTATTCCAGCAGCAGCCCGGGTAGATCTGCTCGATTTTCATCTCAACTTGCAGTCACTGGAATTGCTGAGCATCAACCTCCTCCGAGATCCGTTTCACCGGTCAAATCAGCGCTGAAGAATGCGCGGAAAAGCTCATTGTCTCCTGATGGGAGAAATGGAGGTATTCTCCGTCCAGGCCCGTCAATCAGTGAGCTATCCGACGCCACTTCTGTGGCTTCAGACGATGGCTCCAGACTAGGCTACCGTAGGAAGCCTGTCAAGGTAAGCTTTGACGATGATACCGAAATTGTTGGAGTTGCAGCGAGTCCGCCGACCTCACCGGAGGAACTAACCCCCGAGCCCCCTGAAAAATTCAGGGCCAGAACTGGATGGTTCGGGGTAGGTAAGCGGAAGACATCACAACGGGATACCGTGCGTCCTAATGAGTTCGATGAGGTTTTGAAGCCCCGACCTGCTCTCCCATCTTTTGGCAGTATAAGAGGACGCCGAGAGGACGAACCTGAGCCCGCCCAGCCGGACTTCAGTGACAATGAGTCTACTGCCTCGTCTGAGTTCGATGCAGTGGTCTCCGGCTGGTCTGTCTCAACTGACCATCCCGTCCAAGGCATCATGTCCCACCCTTCCGTAACAAATCATCCATCTGACACAGAAGTCGGTCGCATTGCCCTCGTTGAGCCCTCTGAAGGACCTAGCGGCCAAACGAATAATGAAGTAAGACAAGATGGTGACTTAGTCCATGAGCCGGCGTCTCAAGCTTCTCAGGCTCTGAAACTGTCGGTAGCGGATGCACACTTAATGCGAGAGCAGGGACCATTAATGACTCCAGATGTGGAGTTAGCGCTACAGGGTATGGTGGCCCAGACAACCTCACCTGGTGCCGAAAAAGGGCGTTCAAGTCTTGAGATATACAGAGTTCCCGGTGGTTTTCCGCGAACCTCGTTAGAACATGAGCCCAAAGCTGCTAGTAGAAGGAAAGGCAAGAGGAGATCACGTGGCAAGTCTATCGACGAAAATATGCCGAATGGCAAGGAGAGCGGTGACGAGTCAGGGGAAAGTATCTACAGCGACGCCGAGGAGGGCGTAGATGGTGATGGCTTTGGCTCAATCAATGCTATCGTGGATGCCCGGATAGCTCAAGGTAAAGATGGCCGGCCTGTTGATTCTCTCCTCAACAACACATTCTCCAAAGACGACACTCGCGGATTCGGAGCTAAGTCCACCAATGGAGCGGCGAACAGGCTCGAAGAGTCAAGTCAGGCCGATTGCGCAGCAACTCCCGCGCAAGCGCAACCTGCCGACTCTCCCACCTCCGCACAAGCATTTTCTACACGGTCTACAGTTCAGACGCAGACGACCGCCAAAGACATACATTCGTCCGCACGCGCGAGTCAAGCGAAGAGGCCCATGTCAACCATAGTATATAGTGATTCAGGGCTTCGTGATGTTGTTGCAAAGGATGGCTCATTACGCGACCTATCGGGCAACGGCACCTCTGCTTTACGTCGAGCCGATTCTGAGCGGGCCAAAAAGAGGCCTGTGTCATTCGGGCCGGTCATCCAAAAGGAAATCGACCCAGCGCCTTCTAGCGAGAGACTTATCAACGGCAGAACGCCCCGCGTGCCTCAAAGGAGGATGTCTACCGGAAGTGACTCATCCAGCAGTTTCATAAGGTCCACGCGCCGTGCCAAAAAAGGTGGGCAGCATACCATGCGTCGCACCATGCGGGAAGGCCCTCCGACCCGCGCCATGCCGCCGTCTCCCGGCCGGGCATCATCCCCCACAGTAGAAAGTCGGCCTCTTTCTTCAGGGTCGGTCACAGGTACCATGCGCACTACATTGCGGAGTGGACCCAAGAACGACAAGACTCCGAGCTTCTTCTCTAGCAGGTCTTCGAAACCGAAGGCTACCAAGACAGCTACACCTCGTTTCGTATCACGATTCCCAGATTCGGATGACGAAGATGCTGATTTCCGGCAGCGGAAACTTCAACGTCGATACGATGATTCCAGTGACGATGAGCAAGGCCGCGTGATGCACACTCTACGCCCGGTTCGCGGCATTCCTCGACGGCAGGGCACAAACGACGGCGATTCGACGGAACTGGAAGATAGCTCTGAGAACGAGAGGCCGGCCACCCCTGCACCAGCAGCTGCCTCCAAGAAACCTGATCTTCCTTCGCACGACCCAGGACTTGCTGCAGTGGCCAGGTCCCGTGGAATGACAGAGGAGGAGCTGGATGAGTTCCTCCACCGGCCGGCTAAGGGGCGAGTGTCTGGGATTCTGGGCCGGTTCACTTTGAAGAAATCCAGGCCACCCATGGAACACAAGGCCTCCAAGTCCAACCCGGAGGACCTTGCTCACATGCGCGACGAGAATTTGCTGAATCCCGGTCGGGGAACAACAGTCACAACCGTCACTGCCAACCAGTCCGGGACTTCCCCTTCGAAGCTCACCAAGGGAGGCTTGAAGAAAGCGAACGGGAACAGCTGGCCAATGGACTCTGGGCACAAAGGGTCAGAAGCCGCAGCGGATGCTGAAACTGTGGCAGAACAGCACCCTGTAGCGACCGATGCATATGGAGACGGAAGTGCATCTATTGCCCGCCATAGTGAGCCCACCGCAAGCGACAGCGCAATCAATATGCAAAGCTCCGAAGCCACACCTCCGCGCGAGGAACAACACTTCACTAACAGCAATGGCAATAATAACGTCAGCGCAAAGGATATCGTCTTCCCACAGGGAGGGCGGAAGAAACGGTTTCCTCGTCTCCGAAAGGCATTCGGCATGCGCAGCTAAGGGGAGCCGAATGATGTCTATTCGCTTCTTCCACTACTTATATTGAAGCATATTTGCTTGTAATCTATACAGAATTTGGCAGGCTCTCTCTTGAGAAGGCTTCTGATAGCTGCGTGTGCTAGGGATTCGTCGAGGTGCCGACGTTTCTCATGTTTCTACGATACTACGAATTACTACGCCTATACAGGAGGGAGCTAGTGCTCCCTATTTGCCGTGATTTTCAATACTTTGCTCCCAACCGCCCTTTCAATCTAATTTGCTGTGATACCTTCGCTTCTCTCCGCCGGCCACGCAACGTGTGGACGAATTGCTATTATAACAACTCCTACATAGGAGCAGGCTTGATTTATTTTCTTTTTCTCTTCTCTTCTTCTTCCGTGTCGTTCTTCTACAATTTTTCTGAGATATATAATAATGATTTTGGCGGGACATGGTTCAGGAATACGGATAATATGGGTAATGGACAAAAGGTTAGGGTTAATGGTCTTAATACATCATCTTAGGTTCGAGGAGTTTTGGGCCGAAAGACTATCACTGTTGGATAGAAGGAAGATGAAGGACATCTGAAACATCTATGAATTATCTACCGGATACATAATGTCATTTTTTTTTTGAATCGCTCATTGACGGATAAGACATTCACTCTTTCTGATGGGTCGCTGGTTTCTTCAGGTGTTCATTATGGAGTACTAACAGCACCTCAACTGAAGCCTGAGTGTCCAAAATACGAGTACGCAGTTTGTGCCCTGATTATCCTTCATCAAAATGAGCTTCGTTGAGCTGCTGAGTGCATGCAAAAGTACCCGATGATCGGCTGTGTTGACCCGTGCAACAACCTCGGGATGGGAAGCTAGGAGACATGGGAACGAGCGCTTCGCTCTCCACCCATGAGTCCACTTTCCAGTGATTCCGATCTCGTGCAAGGGCCCACACGGCAAACCAAAGGGCCAGAGGGCAGACACGACAGCCGCTTGCACCAACCTCTTGCTTTTCCTTTGGTCGGGTATCTATCGGTAGACATGGGAATGCGTCTACAATTGGACAGCCCACGCCGGAGATTGGGTTGAAGCTGTGGCGAACGACTGTCCATTATTATTAATATTACCTTGCTGTCTAAGAGCAAGGTAACGAAAAGGGATACAGCTTGAGAAATTCGATGGCTGGCGGGCGCGTACCCGTGAAACCAGAGCAATCATCATAGAGATCAGAAGCAGTAGGGTGGAGCGCTTTAGATCAGGGCTGTCAGCCTGTAGAAAGCTGCTGGTGGTCTTGAGAGGGGAAGACCACGGCTTCTCCGTGTAATGAACGGCGGGAAGTGAGATGGGGACGGCCGATGAAACCTCAACTCCAATGACGGGACTCCACGAATATTGTCTGGTTCAATTGCAGATGGGCCAGAACGATGGAAACTGCCAGAATGCTGTAACTAGAATTAGGAACAGTATCTCCTCCATATTGCCAGTTGATTCTCTCCATCACGCTGGCAGAGACAGCTCAATGCTGCTCATTGCTCAGTCGAGTTGGTGAGTAGAATGAACTGCGCATAAGCCACCACCAAGGTCGATCGTCCCAGCCCAGTAGCGCCAAGGGATCCAGATTTCCGATTCGACCCGCGGAGAGGTTCACGTTGCCATGGAGATTGGTGTCTTTTTTGAGTTTCAGCTCTGTGTAAGTGCCATGCTGGCCAGCCTCCAGACTTTTATCACCGATTGCATTATCATTATTATTGGGTGTACGGCATATGAAGAGGAGAACTCATTCCATGGGCTGGAATGTATTATCCCCATGCATGTGAAGGTTCACCCTCTTCTGAATGGAACAATAATGTTTTAATAGACCGCTTGATAGTGATGTGTATTATTTCGAAGCATTGTTGGCCGCTATGTCGATGGGGCCGTTCGTATGCAGCAGGATGTACGGAGTAGGCCGATGGAGTCAATCAGAACTAGCTATATATATCTAGCATCAATGACCTTTGCAGTTAGCACATGCTTTTCCTTGAGCATAAATTGACCCTCAAGAGGCAAGAGTCGACGAGAATAATAGTGATTTTCTTTCATACCGTTTGGAGAAAGTGACTATCGCCCGCAACCTCGGATAGATGAAACCCCAGAGGGTCTTTCTAACCGGGAGGCTGGAAGAGACCCAAACGGGCAAAGCGCAGTAAACAAACGCGTGGAAACAAGAAGCAGCAGCATTGGATGGATGAATTGATGCGATGATTGACGGATTGATGGATTGATTGAATGATACCATTCTGTTGCTGTATGGGGGAGGTTTCCTGGGTGTACTCCGTAGAAAGTAAGGTGTTTGTTATGATTAGATACAGTCGCAGTAGTGAACGATGGCCTCTCCCTTCCTATTTCAAGCCCCTCATCCTCTTCTTCTTCTTCTTCTCCTTTTCTCTTCTCTCCTCTCTTCCATTCCTTCTTCATCTTCCTCTCCAGCATTCCTGAGTTTATCTCACATTCCCCCCTTCCTGTCAACCACAGATTAGATTAGATCTATCTAATCTTCTATCTAATTCTCACTCCCGCGAGAAAGACTTCTCTTCTAGTAAAGAGTCTTTTCTTGTCTCGCCTTTCGAGTTGTTTCGCAACAGTTCGAAAGGGATTCGAGAAGAGACGCCCAAAGGACAGCCAATCTGGACTTTGACGCCCGCGTCCCCATCCCCTTCAGTGTCTTCCCGTCGTCGTACCGGAGTGACGCTGTTCCTGAGACTACTCTGACTAGAGTAGAGGGAGAAGTCAATCTCGATCGTACTTCGCACGTCGAACGGGAAGATACTCGAACCTCTGCTCCTCTTCCCGACCCTCGTGTCTACGGAAGAGAAGAAGTCGATATCCATATCACCAAGGACCGTCTCCGCGCACCTTCTCGCAAGGGTGACGATTTCCAGGTCATCTACGAAGACCGTGCCCACAAGGATTCTCGCGTCCCTGAGGTAGAACTTTCGCGTGAACGGTAAGCATTTCTTTCTTCCCACGAATTTCTTTTTTTTTATTATTACTTCCACGGCCCTTGAAAACTGCTTGGTTTCTATTCGTTATTTTCCCCCTCCTGTGGGCTGTCTTTTTTGGGCTGTGATGATTTGTTTTCTGTTGATTTTCTCTGAGTGCCTCGTGCTTCTGCATCAATCTACATTTCCAGCTGGGAAAGTGGAGAGGGTGAGAGAACCAGGCAACAGGCGGAAACACAGCGAAAACAAAGCAAAACAAAACAAAAACAATACAAGCACCAGAAGAAGCGGTGACGCCCCAAAGGCTGCATCAGCCGAGAAAGTGGCACCACAAGCCTAGACTAGAGCGGATGAGAAATGGCGAGCTATCAATTTACGCAGTAAGCTCGGTGCTTTTGCTCAGCCGGGCCTAACTTGATTAGCCGCTCCATCCAATCTATTTACGTGGCACAAAGACCAAAACAAATATCAAAACAAATGCCTCCAGAAAAAGAAAATGACATCCAATGAGCGGTGTCGGCCCGTTCCCTTACCCAATCCCCCCTCTCGTGTCCCCAATCCATGGTTGTCCTGTCTTCCTATTTCTTGTTTATCATTCTCTCTCGGATAGTATCTAACATTCTCCTCCGTTCCCACCCCCAGATACCGTGAACCCACTTCTCGCTACGAACCTTTACCTCCCAAGCCCGTCTACGACCAGGCCCTTGAGTCCCAGCTTGACATCACTGAGCGAGAGTATCGTCGCCGTACCGACCCTACTTACGACGTCAACGTTTCGTACGGTCGTCACCAAGCTCCCGTAGACTCTTACCAAGCCTACCAGCCCCAACAGACTTCCGACGTCTCTCTCCACCGGTCCAAGACCGAGATCGACATCTCCTACGACAAGGCCTACGCTCCTAAGCCTCTCGAAACCCGCAAGGGAGACTCCTTCAGCCGCAGCGAGCTTACTGTAGAGTCTGTTCCTTCTCGTCCTTCCTCCGTCGCTTCGATCTCTCAAGTCAAGGTCCTCAAGCCTTACACCGCTATCGACCAACCCCCTGCTCGCAAGATGGGTTACTACGACGACGACGGTAACTACCACTCCTTCCGCCGTGGCGTGGAGCGTGCTGTCGACCGCATCACGCATCCATTCCACCACCACCATCATCACCACGATCGTGAGGAAGTAGTCATCGCTGACGAACGTGGCCCAGTTCGTTACCGTGATGGCGTCCGTGAGGATGTTCGCATCGTCGAGCCCCGCGCCAGCAAGACCACTGCAGAATCCGTCCCCATCCCCTGCCACTTCATCCGCATCGGCGACATCCTGATTCTCCAGGGTCGCCCCTGCCAGGTGATCCGGATCTCCGTCTCCCCCCAGACCGGCCAGCACCGCTACTTGGGTGTCGACCTCTTCACCCGTCAGCTGCAGGAGGAGTCCAGCTTCGTCTCCAACCCCTCCCCCTCGGTTGTCGTTCAGACCATGCTCGGTCCCGTCTACAAGACCTACCGCATTCTGGACCTCCACGAGGATGGCACCCTCACCGCCATGACCGAGACCGGTGATGTCAAGCAGGCCCTTCCCGTCGTCACCCAGGGTCAGCTTTTCCGCAAGATTCGCGACGCTTTCTCTGAGGGCCGCGGTAGCGTCCGTGCTCTGGTCATCAACGATGGTGGTCGTGAGCTCGTCGTTGACTACAAGGTCATCCACGGTTCCCGTCTGTAAGCATCTAAGCCTCTTTAGGCTTAGTCAGCTTGGGTAAACGGAACAGGTTAGTTTATCCGCTTTGTCACCCATACACTATGATCCTATGAACCATGGTTGTTTCTTTGACCCAGGGGAAATCCCATCACAAGACGCTGACGTCATTAATCTAGTTACGAATCTATCTATCTGCTGAGCGAAAACGATAATTTATATGGTATGGCAATTGCTTGTATCTGACATGATGGACTACACGATTGGAATGGCCTCTTGATGAAAAATGAAAAAGAAAAATGACAAGCACGACTTTTTTTGGTTCATCCCGATTTTCTTGTATCAGTCATGGCCACCTTGTAACTACAGCTAGATCATAATGCTACTTACGTCCCCTTGATCACATACTTAAAGCGAATTCTGTAGACTTGTGGTTACATTACGAATTAAATGTCATTGTGTATCCTTTTATGTCAAGAGTCGTTGTCATTGACGCTGATCCAAGAACATCTTGGCCGTCATGAATCTTAATTAAGCGATATCGCTCTATCAGCGATTAGTTATTGACTATCCTGCCAGTTGAAACATTCAATTCATATAGTTCACTTAGCAAACCAGAGTAGCGTCGACACCAACAATATATACCAAACATAATAAAGCAACCAAGCCTGTCCGTCCATCCATATACTCCTGACCTGACCTGCCGAAACAAAGAAAGAAAAACCTATGAACAGCAAAGAGTCGATTTTGTACAACCTGCGCCTTCCCCTCTCTGCAAGTGCATAAGAGACTCGTAGCCAAAGCAAATAGCAAAAGTGGAAGGGAGAAGAGGTAAAGAACTGAAAAGAGAGGCAAAGGGAATAAAGAAAAGCGGAGGATGAATCAAGGCCGCCTGGCCAGGAGCATCTTTACCAGGATTCTGAAGAAAAGAAGAGCAGAAAAGCGTACGCCGAACGCATAACCAGTGTATCATGGTGGAAAGCATTATCTGAAGCGGAGGCTGAGGAGATGATTCAACATGTCACATCGCAGGCCGAGGATTAAAATACCGGATCACCAAGGGAGAGAAATGTGCTGATGCCGTGAAAACGCCGTAAGTCGATCAAGTTGCAAAAAAGGGATGATCCAGAAGCCATATTGTACATGTCCACATGCGGAGAGAAGAGATGGATAGGGTATCGTTTATAACAGAGCCCCAAGTAGAAGTCGGCCAAGAAGAGAGGCACATTTATACTCATGAACACGAATCCAGGATGGACATCCTCGGGTCAAAAAGGGTTGACAAGGATTGTCACCGTTCCCCGAATTTGCCATATTCCTGTTGCCATTTCAGGAGATGACGCGTGAGGACATCCATCATTTCAACGCTGCTCAGATCTTTGAACTCCTTCTCCTTGGGAGCCTGACCAGATGCTGTTTCGCTATCAACGCTTGATGTCCCTGACTGCACTTCGTTGGTATTCGAAAGTAATGCAGTCTCGATTTGATCAATCGTGGCCTTTGTGAGAGAGCCATTTGGTTGGTCTCCATTGCCGGGAGGGGTGGAAGTTTCGCCGGCAACAGCCATCTCGACCTGCATCCGGGAGATAAATTCAAGGATTCCGGCAACTCGTCTCTTCATCTCGTTCATGGTAGTCCGTTGAGGGTTCATATAGCGCGGCCTGCTCGGTTTTCCAGAATCCACATTGTAGTGCGCTCCGTTGACTGCCCCCACTCTCGGCGAATCCCCACCGATATCGTGTGATTGCCCCCGTCGTGGAGAGTCAGCCCCATTCATATCTCGGTCCCTCGTATATTGATTACGTCCGACCCTTCCACCACGTCGCGCAGGTGGGCGTCCAGACTTGCGGGTTGACGGACGGGAGGGAGCAGGTTCCGGAGCAGGTGCAGCGGTCTCCGGGCTAGTTTGAGGAGGCTCAGGGTCTTCCGCAGTGGCTTTGGTCGGCGATGCTATCTCACGGTCGGCATCTGCTCGTTGTGAATGTGTTAGGACGAGGAATCCCAAGATAACTTCAGGGCTCTTACCTTCACCATTTCGCCTCTCGAACTTTCCCTTCTTACGGCTCGCAATCTCCGCGTGATCTGTTTCGGGTTCTTCTGTTTCTTTGATGGGCTTCTCACGATGACCCCGCGGTGCCACCCTAGAGTTCTTTGTGCCGTTGCCATTAACTTTTGTCTTCGACTCATCTTCTGATGCAGGTTGGGATTCTGTGTTCTCTGGTTTTGACATAGCGCTTGGTGAAGGGGAACTTGTACGCTGGCGCTTCGTCACCTGCTTGTGACTAGGCGGGGAAAACTGGTCAGCAGCAGCACCAAAAACCAATGTTACTTGGGAGGAGGGTCGTCATCAAACTCACGCTTCGCTGTCACTTCGACTCCGCTTGCCTCGTCGGAGAGCGATGTCCTCTGCGGGGGGCTGAGTATCTTCCTTGCTCTCCTCGATCGCTCGCCGGAGCTGCTCCTCTTCGTCATAAGCCGCATCACGACTATTCATGGTTGATCTGCGTTTGGGGTTGGCAAGCGACTCGCTCTGTCGTGATTTGGGGTCCTTCGCCCGTCGCGAATTATCACGGGACGAGTCACGGGAGGTTGCAGGGGAAGATTGGGCTGGGGCGACTGGGAGGTACTGCGATGAATATTGTCTGCAAAAGTGTAAGCACGACGGCCATACAGTTGAAACATGATTCCATGTAGAAGCATCGCGGTTGAGGTGCGTGAGAATTTAGAACATTGGCTCAGCCTCGACGGGTAACGAAGAGCTTGACCCCATCATCCGGGCAATTTAAGGCCGAGTGGACGCAGTAAATCAGAGAAGGGCAAATCCTTGAAATGAGAGTAGAAAAGAGGTTTGAAGAAACATACCCGTTGGACTCATTCTTAATTTTGTGAAGATCTTTCCGACACTCCTCACAGAAATACTCGTCGGGACTCATCGCTTCATCCATAATACCCACACAGCCACCGTGTTGCCAAACTTTGCAGGAATCACACTGGATGAACATGCTACCGATATCGTCGGACATCAGGTCCGATGAATCTGCAGAAAGATTCAACGCATGTTGATCCTTGAACCCAACGGCCGCCCCGCTGCGACCGAGAGCCTCCCGCCGAGAGGGAGGCAGGCCTGGGTAGTCTTGCTGCCCACAAAGACATCGGGTAACCTCTTCTTCTTCGTCACCCTCTCCGTCTTCGTCCTCATCTTCCTCCTCCCCATTCAATCTCACATGGTCATCATCTCCTCGGGAGCGCTGGCGCTGCCGCGTTTGTGGGTAGTCGTTTCTTGTGGCGCTGTCCGCATCATCAATGGACTGAGACCGTTGGGTTGAAGATCTCTGAGGGGAGGAAATTTTATGGTTCGATCGAGTGCTTCTTTCGCGAGTCAAGGAAGTCGACGAGCTGGAGGAATTTGTATGCTGAAGGATGGCGGGCGAGGGTTGGGAGGTGCGGGCACGAGAAGAGCGACGAGGAGTCATGGTGGAGCACTGCGAAGCGAATGGAGTACAATGATTCTGACAATGGGGGGAATATTAAGGATAAGTTAAGTATATAAGACTCAAGCGAGGCACAATTATAACCAGATGCTGCCCATGTGCGAGCAGTCGCACGCGGGTAAGAAGCTAGGATTGGACAGCGTACGACTCGTAGGAAAGGTGAAAAAAGAGAGCGAAAGGACCGGCAAGGCAAAGAGTAGGAGCTGGCGATTGAGACACGAGGTTGAAAAAGAATCCAAAAAGTAGCGTCTGCGAGCCCGAGTCTGAGCCGAGGACTACATAATCTGCAGATTTCTATTTGTGAGGGTGGAGGGGAGGGAGACAAGGGAAGCAGAAGAATGAGATGGGGTGGACGAGAAAGCGAGTTCGGTAGCAGTAGCAGTACTAGCAGTAACAATCCTAATCAAAAAGGCGGACCACCGCAAGCGGGTTTCCTTTTTCTCTCCTCTCCGGGCTTTCCCCGCTCACCATCTACCAGCTTTGTTTTTGCGCTCCACGAACCTCGAGAGTCAACTATTGCAGAGTACTTGCTATCATCTTCTTGATGTTGGGATTACATCTCGCCTGTGTTTTTAAAGCAGAGTTGCTTGCGATGGTGTATGACTGAGCTCAACTGCTGACCCGGGTTGACAGAGCCGATGATGGCATCGTCCATTCCGCCATTCATTCCACTACACAGAAAACCCCGCTTATCAATCGTCGACCGCACACAACGTCCACAGCCTGCCTCCTTACTACTTTCCGATCCGAATTTAAAAAAAGAGAAGAGTTGAGTAGATTCACTGGGAGGAAAGAGAAAACTGTGTTTCCTACTGTTCAGGTAGTTAGAGGAATTGTCGCGAGAGAGCGGCCCATGACTGTTCAGGGAACTTTAATCCTTGCGGATGTTGTCACAATACAAGAAAGCCTCGTTTCACCACCACCTTGCTTGTGGACTCTGAAAGAACTCGAGGATATCGTTCAGCTATGGAAGATTGATACCCCATATTGCTGCTCCTGTTCTACGGGTGCATGAGCTTTCAGCTCCAGAAGTATCATAGCGTGTTCCTGCAGGAATGGTTGCCCATAGAGCGCTTGAGACTGGGAGAGAATATCACATAAGCTAACCAATGTATGAGAGCTCTCCTCGAAACCAGTGCACGGTATGGTGTCTGTTCCGATGTACAGCTTGTAGATGCTACCAGTAGCATTAATCAACAGCTGGACTTGATCGTTGAACTTGCCATCCGCTACAGCATCTTTACACTGCTTAGGTATCCGGTGAATGTCGTGGAAACAAAGAACGCCCTGCCAAACGATCATTGAAATGGTCGAATTATCTTCAGGAAATATCTGTAGAAAAGGAAATATCTGTAGAAATAGAAAAAAAGAAATGTGTATATTGCTGGCGATGGAGACTGTTCGGTCCCGAAGAGGTATAGTGCTATTCGAGGCCTCAGGCGCCAAATCGGAGCCTCAGGGCGAGAACCCGCAGCTCCAAAAGGAACTATCATGTACGGAGATAGGTTGTTACTACTCTTATGGTCAATTTCACCCCTCCATCGTCGATCGTCCTTTCTCTAATTTCTCCCCTAACAATAACTCCTTTCGATTGTGAATACTTTCTTTACTTACTATCCCTTTTTCTGATTTACTTCTTCTCTGAGCTTCTGGGTCTGTGCAGATCTTTGTGACACCCAGGTTTCTACTGGGGTCTTTCCCGAACCTCTTGTCCGGCTATTTCTCCAAAAATTTTGCATGGGCGTTTGGTGCTGATTAATAGTCACTCATTTTGTAAGTTGCAGCAGGCTTCGTGAACAATACTATCGGGATTGCTTTGGGCTTTCTCGCTACCTGTGGCTTGATCTTTATCCGAGTCTTGATTACTCTTGATGTTCTCTGGCGGCCTGCCAACAGTGACAACTAACTTGTGGGTGCCAAACTACTTCGGTTTAGGTTCCTCTCCGTTCTCATCCCACCCCCCTCTCTTTCCCTACTCGGTATTCGCAACGCGACCAGCAGAACGTCATATATTCTTGACTGCGGAGTGTTTTCTGACTTTTGGGGACGAAGAAGAGGTCGACAAGCAAGAATAGAAATAGCCGGGAGTCTCAGAGGACCTTCGATACCTAGTTGTGGGACACGGTGATTCAGGAGACAGGGAACAGGAAAAAAAATAGCCCGCCGTTCGGCTGTGGTCGTCGACGGTTACTGAGCTGAGATACCTGCATGACGATGACTGCTACGTTGAGTATGTTCCTCTCATCAAGAATGTCTTCTCTTCTGGACGTCTCATCATGCCGGTCCAGCACCAGGTGCATGGGGAGTTCTTGGAGAGGAGAGAAGACCACTGCCAGCTAGATCCGTTGCTGATTCTGTCCGCCTGCAGATGGGATGTATAACTCAGCTCCAGATACTCCGTCGCCTGTTTATCCGGACAGGCTCATTCGGCCCCTTCCTAAACGGACCCTACGGTCTCGGTTATCGCCCGAGGCCGCCGACTCGATCCTCTACCCTCCCGCACCCCCAGCGACCCAACTCTTCTACGGATCCTCTGCGGACCATGGAGAGGTGGTGAATGACAGCAAAGTCTACGTGCAACAGAGTCTAGCCACGGACGCGCATGATCATATTTCCGAGCGAGAAACACACCACACCTATGAAAACAGTCTTGATCTAGAGAGCGGTGACGAGGACGGTCCGGTTGTGGTTCGTCGAAGTGCCGGTTTTCGCGGGTCGTCTCTCTCGCCGTCTACTACAAGAATTCAACCGCATGCACCTTCTGGCAAGGTAGAAGGATCACCGATCAAGTCTTCCTCGACAGGTCCCGACGGGTATGATGCCTTCGAGAACACTAACAACAAGAAGAAGCGCAAAATCCCCACCCCCGGCAATTTGGGAAGCCATAATTCCACGCTTTCCCCTGAATTCGCGAACATGGGGCTGTCAAGCTCCGCACAGGCGTCGTCTACCCCGGTCAACGAGGTAAATAACGTTGGCACGTATTATGGTACCGGCAGCCCCGCGTCTCCTGGACTTGGTGGTATTTCGGGTCCCGGTAGAGGTCGTCTTGGGCGGCATCCATCTCGCAATGGTCCGTCAAGAAACTCCCTGTCGGTCCATTCTCAGATTGGCTGGCCCGCGACCCGAGCAGCAGGTCGCCGGGATGGCATGTTGTCCACGTCGGCGCCCGCAGGTACTTTCTATCCCTCCCCTTTGGAATTTAACACATCCCGGTGATTTTCACTCACTCTGTGTTTAGGTGACCCGACAGCAAAATCGGACCAGGGTATCATTTCCGCCGCCATAGCGAACGCTGCTGCCTTTTCCTCTCCCCCACGAGGCCAGGCGGGTACCAGCTTGCTTGAACAGCAAACAACACCAACCAAGACACAATTCACTTTCACCTGTGAGTCTGATTCGTCAAAAGGTATGGCTTTGCAGGCACAAAGTCTGTATCCCGCACCGCAGCGTTCGTCTGCACCGCTCCCCCCGACAAGCCAACCTCAGCGAGGCATCTCCACACAAGGAACCCAAACAAGCCCGGGTATGACGGCGCACGGCAATCAACAACCACATCCTCAGCAGCAAGCCCCTGGTGCCGAGTCGCCCGTTACAGGCAAGAAGAAGAGGCGGTCACCGGGAAGCATCTATGCATTGGCAGCACGTCAACGCAAGATTCAGCAACAGTATGCTAATCTCCATCATCCCCCGAGTCCCGAAGATATCTGGATCTGCGAGTTTTGCGAGTACGAAAGCATTTTTGGTCGGCCACCCGAGGCCTTAATTCGGCAATACGAGATCAAGGATCGTAAAGAGCGGAAGCGACTGGCGGAGAAGAAGAGACTGCTTGAAAAGGCCAAGATGAAGGGCCGCAAGGGCAAGAAGGCCACTAAGAATGCGGCGAAAAGCGCGGCGGCTCACCAGACAGTATATGATCAAGGATACGATCGCGCATCCGTCGATCATTCTTCTGTCACCGGCCATGGAGCGCATGACGACGACTATTTAGGTCATGAGTACGACGATGAACCCATTCCTATGCCACCGCCTGCACCGCCCAATTCTTTCAAGACGCCGCCGCCGCCCGGACATCTGGTCAAGCCAACGACTCCCCCGCCGCATATGCAGGCAAGCGTAGATGCGGCGAGTACTCAACCACCCTGACAATGGGCGCGGACGGCCTTGGGGATACACACCTTTCGCAGCATCTTCCGAACGATTTTATTTCCGAGGCCGTTCGGATGGTGTATCTCTACCCCCATGATGAAGGTCGCTGCTCATTTTCCTTTGTTTCAAATGCTTTTTCGCGTCGAGTATCCTCTCCTTCCCTTTTGTTTTTGCTTAGTTTAAGTTTTAGCCTTGTTCTCTCAGCTGTCTTTCCGCAGGTTTTGCATTTATGAAATCCCCGCTCCAATCACATATCATGATGAACATCACGACAACGTCACGAAGCATTGAATCCGGCGGGTAAACTGCACTTGCATCTATGTTAGTTATGTTCAGGTCCTTTTTTGTCCTGGAGGACCATGGCATTCTAGTACGCATATGGGGGTCGCATGTTCGGTTGGTTTTGAAACGGCAGGATAGTCGGTGGAATTATGGGTTCTCGTATTTGGTTTTACAGAGAGACAACCAGCATGGATAGGTGCATCTTGGGTCGTTGGTTGGCGCTACAGATTGTTAGTTGTCCAGAGTTTGTTGAGTTAGAGCGGCAGGATCAGTCGATCAGTGTCAGAGTCTAGCAATGTGAATACCGTCTGGGGTTGATATGGTGCATTAATTACTCGATTGGACAAGGCCCATAAGAGATCACATCTTGCCTGGACCGTCCAGGATGTCTGATCGTGTTTCCGTCTATGAAGAAGAAGTTTGTGCAGAGCCATAAATAGATTAAAGCAGAAACTGTCAACCAGTCGATGCTGTTGGCGCTTCCGATGACACGAGCTGAGTTTAGCAGATCGCCGCCACTACAGCCGCCCAGTTTGACATGGATCTTGAGCTTGCAGCAAAAACCAATCAGCCGATTGACCAATTCTGTCTATCCAGCGTCTGAAACAACGGCTTACTGTCGTTTGTCGCATTGAATGATCCTTGAGGCCCGGGATCAGCTTAGCCGCGCGCGAAGCTAAAAAGCCAGGCGCCGTCATGCTACAGAGCAGTCGGTTTCAGGACAGCTCCAGCAAGATCAATCTGATGGATGGGAAGAGAAGTCTTGGGAGAAATGGTTGAAATGACAAAGAACGTATTGTGTCGGCTTTGAAAGAGAGTCTGTATCAAAGCTGTGTGCGATAGGTATATAAAGACCAAAGAGTCAGTGTCAGAGCAAGACGAATAACAAGTGGCATTCACACAACAGTCTTTCTACTTTTTCCTTTATTCTTCTGGCTAGATTCCATTCATATTCTCTTTGTCAATTGTCGTTCAAAAAGTTGAGCGTTGCTAGACTCGGGGTTTCATTCATTGTCTGGTTGTGGCATCACAGTCTTTGATCTACGAAGTCGGCTTCCAGGGGACTCTGAGAGACCTTGAAATACTCTGTCATATTTACTCGTTGCGCTGGACGCGATATCCCGTCAAGAAGACTCTCCTTTGACTCTACCGCGATTATAACCTTTCTGCTCGGTCAACTACGAATACATACCACATTCACAGCCGACACGCCCAAGACCAGCACATACCAACCTCGCTTGACAACACAACCTAGATCTGCAGGGTTCTATTCCAATGTGGTTCATCGTCCTCAAGCTCCTCCGCATCGGCGTCAAAGAAGCCAAAAAGCACAAGGCCAAGAAGAACGCGGCCAACACCACAACCACAACCGACCCCGAAAGCATCAACCTCGACCGCGGCTCCAACATGCCTTTCTCCGCCGACTCCACCACACTCCGGAAACCCCTTATCACTCTCCTCGATACCATCCTCCGCTTCATCCAGTTCGTCTTCGGCCTCACAGTCATAGGCCTCTACGGACGGGATCTCCACGGCGAAGACAAGGCCCCCGCGAAATGGGTGTATGCGGTCGTCACTGCGTTCCTGGCTGCCATGACAGCAGCCGTCTACCTCGTCTTGCCGTTTGTGATGAAGGGGCGGACGCCGGTGGCGCGGCGGCCGAGAGTGCAGCTGCCGCTGTTTGTCTGGGAGAGTGTGCTGTGTGTACTTTGGTTGACGCTGTTTGGGATCTTCGGGAAGATGTATATCGGGGATTATAGTGAGGGGGATAAGGTGAAGCGGATGAGGCATGCGGTTTGGGTGGATCTGGTGAATTTGGGGTTGTGGGTTGTTACCATGGGGTGGGTTGGGTTCAGGTGGTGGAGAGGGCTAAAGGGGGGACAGGAGCGAGGGGAGAGGGAGATGGAGGATGTTGAGAAGGCTGGTCCTTAGATGTTGAGTTGTTTGGTGATGTTGGAGGAAAGAGATGCTGCTGGCTAGTATTGGAGGTTAGGGAACTGGTGCTTGCTGCCTATTAATGGAGAAATGTGGGCGATCTCAGCTTACTGACGATACGGGTGATGAGGACGTGAAGATATACAGGCGATAACTTCATAGTTGGAGACAATCATATCCTGAATACACTGACACGGAACGCCCAACTCTTCGCGTCTACCCCAGTCCTCCAGATGCCCAATGCATGAGTCTCTACAGCCCGAGAACAGGAACGCCAGGCTAGTAAGCAATTCGTGGTCATGAGTACATAATTACAGGCCGTTAGGACAGACAAGCAAGGGAAGGTGTTAGTCGTGATAGTCCCATTCACTGAGCGTGTCATAGTAACACCGGGGCAACTTCACTGGTCCCAAATTCTCTTCCTCCGGATCAATCTCTTCGTATACGAGCGTGCCGTTCCTGCGGCGCTCTTCAATCTCCATACCAAGCAGGCTCTCCAGCCGTTTTAGCGGCGAGGGCGTATAATGGAAGAAAGATCTGGGTATTTCTCCCGCGCCGTTAAGGACGCTGCCGTTGGACTCTGCCGCGTTGGCGTTGTACTCGCTTGTCATCGAGACGTCGACGGAGGTGGGCGCTGTTGAATCATTGCCGTTCGAATTGCTAAAGATTGACGACTCAAAGGTTGTACTAAGGCTGGTTCCCTCGCTACCGAAGGATTCCTGCTGCTGTTGCAACTTCTTTTTCTCCAAGAAGGAGGCCAAAAAGACCTGTTCCTCCCACATTCTCTTCAGGAAGAGAGCTCGGAACTCTGCATGAACGATGGCTCGGGGTGGTAGCCTGTAGTATTCAATATACAGGTAGCGAATGTCGCGGAACTTGTTGGGAATCTGGGACCGGAACCCCATGGTGAGAGGTGCGGTTTTGTAACTCGCTGTTCGTGGCCTCAGCTTGAGAAGGAGTTTCAGATTGGTCAGAAAACTCGGTGGCAACTCAGGCTGTTCTCCTGGCATGATTTCTTCAAAGTGTTTTGGCAGCGGTATGGCTTCTGTGAGCGTCCATTAGAGGTCGACGCGATGGCTCAACATACGGTGCTCGAGGCATCCACATAGGCAGATGGCCCGAATAGAGGGCTTACCTCTCAGTTCCGGAGACGGGCTGCGAGTAACCTCTCGCTCCGGCAAGAGTACCTCGGGCTCGACATATCCCTCTGCCTTCTCTGCTCTCTTTGTGAAAGCTCCACGCTGCGGGCTTTGAGTCCGAGTGGACTTGACACCAGAGGTCGACTGAGAGGACTTGCGACGAAGGATGACGGGTCGCCGCTTCGACCCTTTTGCTGTCTTACTCGCGACAAATTGAGTCTTCTTGTGACTATGGTGACTAGTAGGCACATCTGTCGCAGAAGCGCTAGCAGTTGTTGGAGTTGCTGAGTTTACTGCTTCGCAAGTGCTGCTATTGTCAGTGTCGTCTGTTATGAGCCAACGGGCCGTTTTATGTGTTTCTTTCGGAGCGGCGTTGGGTTTCTTCAAAATGGACTGCAGAGGCCCTCTATGAGCTGCCCGGTTGTTGAGACGCTCTGGTAACTTCCCCTCACTCTTGTTCTTCCTCAGAGATGGATTTGTGTTCGATGGAACCTATCTCAAATTAGCGGGAGAACAACAACGACAAATCACTCCGAAGATGGCCAGTACCTCGCTCACTTTTGATGCAGTAGACCCAGAGATGCGCATAAACAACTTGGCCACAGTCGCGCCGGGAAGAGAAATGCGAAGACAGTCATTACTCCAAATCCTCCAAAAGAAGTTCGCCAATCGATATCCAATGATCCCTTCGAGCGCTGAAGGTTTGACATTGTAGGCTGATCATATAGATCAGTCACTGGGTCAACGGCGCAATCTTAAGGAGCAAGAAGAGGTACCTTTCCATAAGAGCGTAATGTCCTGAACATGCACTGGCATCGAATCATCAAACGACGATGGGAGAGTCTTTGTAGTAGAAAGCAAGCCTTCAGGAAGTTCCTCCATGGTGGACATTGTACTCTCTGAGATGGAACAGGTAGACGTAGAGTAGTTGGAGAGAGAAATTCATCTGAGTCTGCCCATCGTCTGAACAATTGGAAGAAGCGTCAGACCAGGTCCAAACAAGTTGTATACGATGATATCAGACTGTTGTCTCGAATGCCACAGGACCGATACGAATATGAATATTCACGTCTGTAAACAAGACATTGCGAGGGGGCTGGGATGTCAGGCCTGGCTGTGAATTTTAACATAAACAAACCAGACAGTACTGAGGTGAACAAACACAAGAGGTGGCAGGAAGCTGAAGGTCTGAGGTGAGGTGAGGATCAGTTAATAGTACAGGACTAAGAATCAACAAGTACAAACAGCAGTCTGCAATTCTCATCTGAGAATCAGGCACCGAGGACTCAATCAATGACACTGGGTAAGTTGCTGCAGAGGTATTCCAAGAAGAGGGAAGGGCAGATATGTTGGATTCTGTTTGTATATCTGTAAGTTTCCTCACACCTAGGACTACAATGCGAGACAGTGCTGCCAGGATTAGTCGTTCTGAACTACATACAGAAACACGACGAGTGTCATTCCGTGGAGGAGAACACGAAAAGGCAGAAAGGACCTGGATGAGAGAATCCAGAGAAGTCGTGGTCCAGAACAAGATTACTATGAGATATTCTGATGAACAATGCGAGATATGTGGCTAGGATTCGCATAGATTCACAAGATCTTACAAGAGAGGACAATAGATGGGCAGACATGAAAAGAGAGGGATATAAACAAACTTAAAACAGTCTATTCTGTTGTGGAGAAATGTTGAACTACTTGAATTTGAATTTGACGAGAGTGGTAGAAGAGTCGTGTTGGGGATCATGATTAACACAAAACAGCGTCAGGAAATGTCATCAAGCGGCCCCAGCTCAAAAAAACTTCCTGATTTCTACCTTCCGGGGGTTTCGGAGCGACTCGGATTGAGATCCATCCATTGTTGCTCTTTTGACAACGTGATATCTGGATCCTTGATTTTAGAAAAAAAAGTTAAGGAACAGGAGTTCGCTAGAGTCAATCATGAGACTATGATGGTGAGGCGAACGGGGATGGGGAATGGGACGAGGACGGTCCAACAAGAAGGAAACATTCTAGAAGGCTAGACGATGATTCGAGGAGAGCGGCAGGTACCTACTTATATCAGGTAGACTAGGCAATCCTCCAACTGGACATAAAATCAACCAAGAATCAGCCAAGTGCGTCCTAACGGCTCATCTATCGTTTTGACCAATCTCGTAGATGAAAAGACGGGACAAGGAGGTAGCCGGATTTGCCTGGATGACGGACTCTATACAAATTCAATCAGTGTGATACACACTTAGAATCATCCAATGTCTCACCGATTATCGTTGATGACCGGGGAATCGTCCCCATTATGTTGTGGAGCTGGAGTTGGATAACTGTAGGCCTCCAGGATGCTTATCAGAGATACCTGAGGCACCAAGGAAGCCAGGCCACCGATGGACGAACCAGTGAGCGTTGATTATTAAGATACCCCGGATGCTGCGTCCGGCATCGGGTGCGATACCGAATAATAATTGCCGATTTTCTGGTCGTGACTCAATTTTTCCCTTTTGGGTTCTCGTTCTTTGGCCATTTCTGGGATACCCTCTTTTTGTTTTTCTTGGTCAATTTGCATTGTATCTTTAAATATAGCTCACGATGTTTGTAGGTCCTCCTGCACTCTTTTCCTTTCTTCCATACTATTGTTCAATGACTGACTTCTGAAGAAACGCACCGGATCTTTGCTGCTTCGGTGCAGAGCATCGCGAGCCCCCGTTATCGGTCGACCTTTGATCTCATTATCAACCTCCTCCACCTCCCTGTCTCTATCTCGTCCTCGATCCTTTGCCACTACATCCCTTCGCTGTTACGCTGAGGCAGCATCCTCGACGACACAAACGTCTCCTTCGCCATCGAGTTGGCTCGCCCCCGATGCCGCCCCCCGCGTTCCCCAGACCCTTACCGAGAAGATCGTACAGGCGTATTCCCTAGGTCTCGCCGAAGGTCAATACGTCAAGGCTGGAGATTATGTGATGCTGAGCCCCCATCGTTGTATGACCCACGACAACTCATGGCCTACCGCGCTCAAGTTTATGGCAATTGGCGCATCCAAGGTCCACAACCCCGATCAGATTGTCATGACCTTAGACCACGATGTCCAGAACAAGAGCGAGAAGAACTTGAAGAAATACGAATCGATTGAGAAGTTTGCCAACCAGCATGACATCGACTTCTACCCAGCCGGTCACGGTGTCGGCCATCAGATCATGATTGAGGAGGGATATGCCTTCCCCGGCACCGTCACTGTGGCTAGTGACAGTCACTCCAACATGTACGGCGGAGTTGGTTGTCTCGGTACTCCCATGGTCCGTACCGACGCCGCGACTATCTGGGCTACCGGCCGCACCTGGTGGAAGGTCCCCCCTATCGCAAAGGTGCAGTTCACCGGCACCCTCCCTGATGGTGTCACCGGAAAGGACGTCATTGTCGCTTTGTCAGGTCTCTTCAACAAAGACGAGGTTCTCAACTACGCCATTGAGTTCACTGGCTCGGAGGAGACCATGAAGAGTCTCTCTGTCGACACCCGTCTGACCATCGCCAACATGACCACCGAATGGGGCGCGCTGACCGGACTGTTCCCCATCGACTCGACCCTGGAGCAGTGGCTGAGACACAAGGCCGCTACCGCATCACGCACAGAGACGGCGCGCCGATTTGCCGAGGAACGTATCAACGAGTTGTTCGCCAACCCCACCGTCGCTGACCGTGGCGCCAAGTACGCCAAATACCTGTACCTGGATCTATCGACCCTGTCGCCCTACGTTTCCGGACCGAACTCCGTCAAGGTCGCCACCCCCATTGACGAACTGGAGAAGCAGAAGCTGAAGATCGACAAAGCCTACTTGGTATCCTGCACTAACTCGAGAGCGTCGGATATTGCCGCCGCGGCCAAGGTCTTCAAGGACGCCATTGCCAGGACCGGTGGGCCAGTGAAGGTCGCGGACGGCGTCGAGTTCTACGTTGCGGCGGCTTCTAAGGCTGAACAGAAGATTGCAGAGGAGGCGGGTGACTGGCAAGCCCTGATGGACGCCGGCGCTATTCCTCTGCCGGCCGGTTGTGCCGTCTGTATTGGTCTGGGCGCCGGTCTCCTCAAGGAGGGTGAAGTTGGAATCTCGGCCAGTAACCGAAACTTCAAGGGCCGCATGGGTTCCCCTGATGCCAAGGCCTATCTTGCCAGTCCTGAAGTGGTCGCGGCCAGTGCACGTATGTCACTATCTATTGGTGTACCTTACCTGTAAGAAATCGCTAACTCTGGCTAGTGAACGGTGTTATTAGCGGACCCGGAATCTACAAGCGCCCCGAGGACTGGGCCGGCGTTTCCATCGGTGAAGGCGAAGTTGTCGAGTCCGGCACTCGCATCGACACCACTTTGGAAGCAATGGAGAAGTTCATTGGACAGCTGGATAGCATGATCGAGTCGTCGAGCAAGGCCGTGATGCCGGAAGAGTCGACCGGCTCCGGGGCCACCGAGATCGACATCGTTCCCGGCTTCCCCGAGAAGATTGAGGGTGAAATCCTCTTCCTTGATGCTGACAACATCAGCACTGATGGCATCTACCCTGGTAAGCCTTCTCAGCCAGACCATCACGCTGTTTTCGCTAACGAACATCACAGGCAAGTACACATACCAGGACGATGTCACCAAGGACAAGATGGCGCAGGTCTGCATGGAGAACTACGATCCTGCCTTTAGCGGCATCGCCCGCGCAGGAGGTTTGTCACCTTTCCTTCTTTGTGATCCCTTTCATCCCCCAGAGTCTAATACCAGTAAACAGACATCTTCGTCTCCGGCTTCAATTTCGGCTGCGGCTCCTCCCGCGAGCAAGCCGCCACCTCCATCCTCGCCAAGCAACTCCCCCTCGTCGTCGCCGGCAGCATCGGCAACACCTTCAGCCGCAACGCCGTCAACAACGCCCTTCCTCTCCTCGAGATGCCCCGCCTCGTCGAGCGCCTGCGCGAAGCCTTTGGCAGCGAAAAGCAACCAACCCGTCGCACGGGGTGGACATTCACTTGGAACGTGCGCACCTCCCAAGTCACCGTCCAGGAAGGTCCGGGCGGTGAAACCTGGAGCCAGAGCGTACCTGCTTTCCCTCCAAACCTGCAAGACATCATTGCCCAGGGTGGATTGGAGAAGTGGGTGAAGAAGGAGATTAGCAAGGCTTGATCGTGTACATGTACCTTTTTGTCAGCGTAAAAGTTCCCTTCTTTTTTACTTTTCAGGGGTGCATTGCGTGTCGAGCCTGGACCTGGACCTGGAGATAGTTTGGATGATATGATATCCCTTAGATGTTAAAATAGCTGGCGGGGAAGTTTTACGTCCGAATAGATATGTCGTTTTCATGTCTTTAAATAATTAGTATGCTAAGTAGACCGCCAACTAGAGGTACTTCCAGTACAACTGGCTGGACCGAACCAGTTCCATGCCCCCATACTAACTACCCCTGATGATATCTCCACTGATATGGAGAACGATCCACTTTGGAGTCTAGCTCAACCGCTTTGCAGTTGAGACATGACCGTTCAATCACAGACCAGGACACAATTGACAAGTCTATTATATGCAAAAGCAAAAAAAACCAGACAATAACTCTGTTCCCAGGTAAAGAAATTAAATGCCATTTTCGCTTGAAAGGTACTCCAGCCCGAAAAGACGCTCAATGTCTCGTAATACAACCGGATGAGGTATTAAGTGGCAGCTCACTACCGGAAGGAACAAATCAAATCAAACCGGTCTATAGCGCTTCCAAAAGTCCCGTACATCGCTTCATAACAACTGCAAGAAATATAGCATCGACATAAAGTGACAAGTCACACTTCCAGTTTAGGTCAAAGTGTATCCACCGTCGACACGGAGATCCGCACCAGTAATGTACTTGGATGCGTCACTGAGGAGGAAGGTCACGGCGCCCATCAGGTCTTCAGGAGTGCCCATCTTTCCGACAGGAATGAGAGAGGTCCACTTGTCTCTCAGATCCGGCCTTTCGTCGAGAATTTTGCGGGTCCTAGAGGTTGACGTCAGCCTGTCGCTCAGAATATGAAGTGGAGGATGGTGGCTTACAGAGCAGTCAGCATGTATCCAGGGCTGATGCAGTTAACCCGAATATCATGAGCAGCCCACTCCACAGCAAGAGAAGCAGCGAGGTGACGCACGGCAGCCTTGGCCGCATTGTAAGGAGCCTGGGGCTGAGGAACATTGACAATTGCACCGGACATGCTTCCAATCAGAACCATGCTGCCCGGTGCCTTGCGTTCCATGAGATGCTTTGCAACACCAATTGCAAACAAGTATGTACCATCAACGTTGACACCCCAGAGCTTTTGCATGCGATCGTAGGGGTAGGAGATGGCATCGAAGTTCTCGGTAAAACCAGCGGAAGTGACGAGGTGATCGATGCGGCCGTGCTTCGAGATAACTTCCGCAATTGCATTATTTACAGAGTCAGGGTTGGCCACGTCGGCGTAGTGAGCTGTAACGTTGGGCATTCTAGACGAAAAAAAAGGAAAGATGTTAGGATCTGCTACTGAACAAAATGGCTGACGTCCGCCAATTGACTTACACTTCCAAGCCCGGATTTTCCTTCTTGAACTGTTCGACGAGCTTCTGAGCCTGCTCTTCAGCTTCCTTTCCTGCGGCGCATTAGCTGCCATTTCTGGAATGCATCTGATGCAACTGATCGTCTGAAACGTACGGTTTAAATCAACAATGGCCAGATCAGAGCCGGACGCAACAAGCGCCTGAGACATGACCAGACCAAGACCACGGGCTCCTCCTGTCACCAAGCTGACCTTGTTTTCCAGGGAGAATTGGGCAAGGGTACGCTTGAAATGCATTCCTCCACGGCCCTGGACGATCGGAGTACGGGGCATGTCCGCGTCTTTGGGGTATTCAATTACAACACTCTCATCAGTACGCGCGAATCTTCCTTCTACCTCAGAATCTTCGGGATCCTTCTTTCCATCTTTCGCGCGAGGAGTTGTGTACGAGAGGGGACGGAAGAAAGTGTTAGAGGCGGAAGACCGGAGAGGAGCAGCGATTGCAGCAGGGCGAGGGCTCTGACTGAGAGCTTTCGCGGCCTGTCGAGCGACCGTGGATCTGAACATCGTATATGTGAGAGATACCTGGATAGAAGATTGTGCTTGGCGGGATGTTGTTTTCCAGGAGAAAGGGATGGGACAGGGAGGAGAAAGAGAGAGCTAGCAGAGGGAAAGAAGGCTTGAGAGAAGGGGAGGCAAAGAAGAAAATAGAAAATGGAGGAGCTGGGCAATGTAAGTGTAGCCAGGGAGATATAGTAAGTACGCAGTTAGTCGTGTGTATTAGGTACAACTATCAATTAAAGATATCTAGTTACTCTGCTGTGTAGAGAGGTATATACACAAGCTGGAGCGATTGCGGTGAAATAAGTACCTTGAATGGAGCACCACAACAGGATATCCGAATGAACAGACAAGTCAGACAGAAGAAATTGCAGGTGTGACCCAGATGACTGGCGTATGATTCAGGACAAAACTTCCCAATCGTAGATTTCTTTTTCTGGAACAATTTTTCTTTTCTGAGCAGTTCTTCCTTTGTTTGTAAGTGTTTCTGCACGATGTCAGGCAGTCATGGAAAAAGGCTGGGCCAGACCCCAACCGCCATACTGCGATCCGGACCAAGATCTGCCATGCAGTGGGGGTTTCTACCCATTAGGCATCCCGGCTTCGTCGGCGCGCTGCTCTTTTTCTTACCGCGTGACTCCAACACGGCCCCTCGATCCTCGCGAAGTTTCACCGGCTCGTAGAAGATTCTACCCATCATCCATCTTCCTGTATTCATTTGTTGCTTCTAATTTTATTATTATCTTTCTATTCTTGTGTTCTCACTAGTATTAGCATTTCTAAGGAGTATCTTCGTAGACGTATCCTCTATCTACCCTCGCATGGTTGTGAACGAGAACAAGTCGTACCAAAGTCAATGTTGGCCATCAGAAGTAAGAAAGATATTGTACCTTCCTTACCTTCAATAATCACTAGACCTAAAATACTAAACATAGTACCTCACTAAGGTAGTAGTTGCACTAATCTCGACAAAAACTCAATTCAACAATACCATTAGATTTGTCGACTGAGCAGTAGAAAAAGATTACCGCCACCGAGTCATCCATTATGGTCGATGTTTATCAACAGAAACTTTCCATTCGATATTTACCACAACCTCTTCTTAATCAAGAAAAAGTAAAAACATACGTCGAGCACTTCAATCTTGAATAACCTGCACGCCTGCCAATGCTAGATTTGAATCTATGGCAAGCTAGCCGCTGCAGCCTGCATGTACTCGGTTACTGATACTTATCTACCTCCTCTGAAAATATATGCAAATGGACATCAAAGATGAGGACATCACTTAAATTATTTGCCACATCTTAGCTGATATCCTGTCGCGACAAAGTCTAAGCACTGTATTCCGTAGCACAAGAGGGATTGAGCGGACTAAGGAGTACGAAATAGTCTACTGTTTACCTGGGAGAATCCTGTCCGGTTTTGTGTCATCATTCGAACTAAGGACTTTGGGGAAGTGGAGTAGTGCCCGGTGGATTCGCTACTCCATAAGGTTCTTCGTAGTTCGTCCCCAGCTGGGGACTCGGTAAATAATGACCACATCCTAAACTTCCCCCGCACGTCCCGTTTTCTAATGGAGCCGCACACTCCTCTTGTGGCTTTGTTTTGCTTCCACGTCCTTCGCTCCGCCAGGGTGACCAGGGTCCTCTCAAGTTTTCTGAATTGTACCTACTTTTAGTGATTTTGTGATGCTTCCCAGCTGTGCTATTCGCTACCTTATTATTGACAGTCATCAGGGCGGAACAATTTAAACAATACCTATCAATGTAGGGTGTTGACTAGTCCAATTTGATGCGGACAGCAGACATGCCGACTCATGACAAGCTTACAGCATATACAGCTCCTATATTTGAATCTAATGCAGACGTCTACGCCCAAAAGGGAATCTGGCAAAACATATCGATGTACACAGTACAATGTCTGTCCTCAATCGGTCATATCCAAGTTCCAATGAAAAGTTGGGGCATCAATTGGAAGTCCCGTCACCTTCCTCTGCGAATTCGACCAGAGGAGTGCCGCTCTTGCATTGATCCTGTAAGAACACGTTAGTTAACTACCACTCCTGAAAACGAAAGGTCAAAAACGCGCAAGTTCTGGAAGCACAGGGGGAAGTGTTCTCGAAGCTTGATGTGAGGGTCTGTGCTTCGGTCACAGCTCTCCAAGACTCCTAAACTCCAACGATCCTGGTCCGACTTGGCGCCAAACCAACGGGCCGAGATCCAGGCCATTAATTAAGAGTGTCACGCCATCGGTCAAGTGACCGATTGATAAACGGGAATGATGCGCAGGGGTAACGAGAATAATAATAAAAAAACGCAAGAAAAAAGAGACGCGTGACCTACCCCTTTTTGATGTACCACTTTGGAGATGGTTCCCTTCTGAGGGCTGCGAATTACTGTTTCCATCTTCATACTCTCAATCACAACCAGCGGCTGGTCTTTTTCCACAACATCGCCTGCCTTGACCTCCACGCGCAGCACCTTGCAGGGCATTGGGGCCAAGACACTGTTGGTGACATCCTTCATGCCCAATGCTTTTTCCATCCATTTGGCCCGTGGGATCGTTAGGCGGTATTGGTTGCCTCGCTGGAACGCAACGATGGAATCTCCGTCTTGTATCACAGTTGTGTCAAGTCGAGTGTGGGGAAAGAAGGATGTCACGACTTTGGACGCGGGATCGCTGTGGCTCGTCACTTGTTCGAAAACACGACTGCCAACCTCGATGTCAAATACATTGTTGCCAGTCTGCTTGACACGAACATTGAATTTTGAGCCATCTTTCCGTCCCGGAGTCAGTTCTGCTAGTGTCATCTCTCGTACTTGGTAGCTGGGGGTGAATCCGACAGCGGACCCTTCAAAGTTTGCCTGCTTTCCGGTCGCTGATTCGGAGTTGTGGTGTAGACAAGCCAGCGCCACTTGTGCAAGGACCTCATCCTCAATTGGGTCCTTAACGAACAATTCATCGCGGTGCTTTTCAATGTAGCCCGTCTCCACCTCGCCCTTGATGAAATCTGGGCTTCTGCAGACAGATTTGATGAACTCGATGTTGGTGATAGGGCCTGCGACCTCATATTCTTCCAAGGCGGCTGCTAGTTTGCGGATTGCCTCTTGTCGGGTGGCACCGCGAACGATCAGTTTTGCAATCATTGGGTCGTAGTGAGCTGACACTTCATCTCCAGCCACGAAACCTGCATCTATTCTGACGTCGTCTGACGTCGCAGGAGTGCGGACGTGCAGCAGAGTGCCAGAGTCAGGGATGAAACCTTGGTCCGGGTTTTCTGCGTATATTCTAGCCTCGATGGCGTGTCCGCGGTGAGACATTTCAGCTTCAACTTGGTCCTGAGACAATGGTAGAGGGGCGCCCTCCGCGATTTTGATCTGCCAGTGGACGAGGTCCTGACCGGTCACCATCTCTGTCACGGGATGCTCAACTTGCAACCGAGTATTCATCTCCATAAAGAAGAATTCGCCGGTGTCGTTGTCGAAAATGAACTCAACGGTACCGGCGCCCTCGTAGCCTACGGCCAGCGCCGCAGCTCTCGCCTTCGCCCAGATATCTTTTCTGGTCGTGTCTGGTAGATGGGGTGCGGGTGACTCCTCCAGGATCTTCTGATGCCGTCTTTGTATGCTGCAATCTCTCTCGCCCAGAGCGACACAGTTTCCGTACTTGTCAGCAAAAACCTGAACTTCGATGTGACGTGGTGTTGTAATGTACTTCTCGACCAGGACGTGGTCGTCTCCGAACGAGTTCATGGCTTCTGATTTTGCAGACTGCAATTGAGCCTGAAATTCGGCTTTAGACCTGGCGATACGCATCCCTTTCCCGCCGCCACCTTTGACTGCTTTAATAAGCACGGGGTATTTAATCTTATCTGCTTCAGCTTCGAGGAAGTTCACGTCTTGATTTGAGCCGTGATAGCCAGGAACGCAAGGTACACCTGCAGCTGTCATAATCTTCTTTGACTGGCTTCCAAGGTATTAGTGAAGGGTAAAGATTGAGTTCCCTGGTCGGCATACCTCTTGTCTCCCATATCCTCGATTGCTTTCCATGGGGGACCGATGAAGACTAGACCAGCTTCTGTGCATTTCCGCGCAAATTCTGAGTTTTCGCTCAACTACAGACAACAATGATAAGTGTACAGCAATCGTTTATTTGTTGGTAGACACTTACAAAACCGTAACCGGGATGTATCGCTTGGCAGCCTTCTCTCTTCGCAATCTCGATGATGCGGTCACCATCGAGATATGCAGAGACTGAGCCGAGGTTAAATGCAAACGGCGAGCTCAACGCATGCTGTGCATGTCTGTCGGGATCCGTGTATAGCGTTGTCACCTTGATACCGTGTTGAGAAGCCGTCCGACCTACTCGTCTATCAATTTGGTCAGTGGAGGTGAATAAAACGTCAAACCATCGTAATCATACAATGCTATCTCTCCTCTGTTGGCAATAAGAACCGAGTCCAGCTTCCTCTGTGGCACATGAGTACTGGCGGCCGTGGATGCTGCTCTTCGTGACCGTCGAGCTGCTGTCGGGCCCATGCGGGAAGAAATGCGGAGAAGAGACGAGAGAGCCATAGCGACGAATTGCTGCTGCTAAACAGCCCTATGTTGAATTTATGTGCAGATTCTTCAAGACTCTCAGCATAGTTCAGATACGAGCGAAAGTAGCTTTGAGGAGCTCTCCGGAGTCTTAAGAAAAATAAGGCCCTGGCTCAGGTTCTTCCGAAGCATGACACTATCATCACCCCCTTGAGCCGACGCAAAGCGAAACTGCGGGGAAATGTATGCACGTGACTCCTACTCCACCCTGCAGTCAATCTCGGCAAGTTTCTGAGTCGAACGGAGACAGCGATCAGCCCGAAGACACGACGTCACCGTCGATTTTTTTTTTCTGATCATTTGCGGTCGTTTCTGTTATACTTGAGATCAATTGAGACATACTGCTTGTTTGTGCTTGCTTATTGCAAAGAGCCTCTTTTCTTTTCTCTCTCGCGAGGCCTATTTGTCGCCACGGAAAATTTCTGCGATCCTTAGGTCCTTCCGATCCCTGGCGGCCTAGTTACGCTTTCTCGAAACGAAGTGGTGCAATTTCATCGCTCTGTGATCCGACTTCGCCAACGTCGTCTCGCATTTCGAAATGTCAGATGACGAATGTCTGGACGAATACGACGATGAAGATGTTTTCTGGATTGAGGAACCAGATCCGACCATTGCTGTTAGTCTTTGCGCTCGCTGCAATCTCTAATTAATTAGCGGACGTGTCCTTGATTATATTGACGAGTCGATTAACGTTATAGGATGATTTAGCTGAAGCCGCTACACACGAAGCGTTGTACGTCGATGATCCTTCCCTCGACGTAGAGGACTTTTACAGTGATTGGGACGAATTGTCCGATGATTATTATGACGACGACCCAACCGTTGAAAAGAGGCGACGCATGATGGATATAACGAAGAACGACGGATATTCTGGAGAATTGCTTGAGGATATTCAGCGACAAGGATTGCTGGAACAGAAGACATTGGTGCACAGGCTACATCGCGGCGGAGTTGTCGCAGAATCACCAGCATTCAAGACAGACCAGGCATCTTTTCAAGCAGTGGTATGGAAGAGCTCCGATGACAAGAAAAACACGGCCACCTTGTATGAGCCGGGTGATGGGGAGAAGGTTGCACTGCTAAAGAACTGGCGAGACGTGTTTCGAAATTCTCATCCTGCCCTACGTCTGCGCAAGCGGGGTCATCTCAAGGCGGACAAGGAACATACTCGCTCTCGATTAATCGGCACCTTATTACAAAAAGAGAGCCAAAAGGAAGACAGTTCAGACTGTACCTCTGGCGCCTCGCTGGATAATCTTCGCGAAACTGACGCTGCCTCCGATAATAGCCTGGCATCGACTCCTCCGGAGTCTGTGTCATCGATTCCGCTACACAGGAGCAGAGCGATGGAATCTATCACCAGTGTGCCCGTCGTTCCCGAATTGAACGACTTTACGAGCTCTCTTGAAGACCGGGAAATGGACGATATCACCACGAAACAAGTTGAAGCCGAACCGACCGATGTTGCGGGCAACGGTTCATCACTTTCTTCCGGGAAGCATCGAAAACGTAAGGCTTCGGATATTGCCGAAGAGCATCAGGATAACAGCACCGATTCTTCCAAGAGGTTAAGGTCAGAAAGCAATGTGTTGAACACAGCTGGCAAAAAAGGAACTGCCGCGACTGCATCGTCGGGCCCGGGCAGAAGATCAACCAGGCAGAAGACAAATCAGAAATAAACTGGTACATGAACCGACAAGGCCTAAATCGGGCTGTACGTATATTTAGATAATGCAAGAATTAGATGCAAAGGATATCGAAATCCCTCTATACATTCGTCTTTCATACAGTCTATGCATATTCCTTGTTAAAAGCGCGCCCGATCACCATGCGTCTGATCTCACTAGTACCGGCTCCAATCTCATAGAGCTTCGCATCCCGGAGTAGCCGCCCAGCAGGGATCTCGTTGATGTACCCATTACCGCCCATAAGCTGAATAGCATCCAGAGCACACTCGGTGGCTCTCTCAGCGGCGTACAAAATGGCGCCCGCGCAGTCCTGCGTGCGGATCGAAACCTCGCCGGTAGCTGCAGAGTTATCGATATGTCGTGCCGTAGCATAGGTATAAGAGCGCGATGCCGAAAGCTTGGTATACATATCTGCCAGCTTTCCTTGAATAAGCTGGTTGTGGGCAATGGGGGTTCCGAATTGTTTGCGAGTATGGGTATATGGGAGCACGAGGTCGAGGGCTGCTTGCATGATTCTATTGAACTCGATTAGCATCATCATCTTCAGACATGGAATGTTTCGCTCAGGGAAGCCTACCCAAGTGGACCAGCGCTGAGGACAAGCCGTTCGAGATCGAGACCTTCCATGAGAACTCTGACGCCCTTGTTCAACTCTCCGAGGAGATTCTCCTTGGGGACGAAGACATCTTCAAAAACAAGTTCTCCGGTGTTTGATCCACGCATACCCAACTTGTCGAGCTTGCGCGCGCAGGAGAAGCCCTTGAATGTCTTTTCGACGACGAATGCGGAGATGCCCTTGGAGCCCTTCTCCGGCTCTGTTTTGGCATAGACGACAATGTAGTCTGCGTCGGGGCCCTAAGTCGTAGTCAGGTCAGTGTCAGCGCTCACAAGAGCGGTTGTAGGATTGATCACTACTCACGTTCGTGATCCACATCTTGGTCCCGTTCAGCACCCAGCCACCGTCGACTGCTTTAGCAGCTGTCTTCATACTGACCACGTCAGAGCCAGCGGAGTGCTCTGACATGGCCAATGCTCCGACCTTCTCACCGGACAGAAGACCAGGGAGGAACCGAGCCTTCTGGTCTTCAGTACCGTTCAAGGACAGTTGGTTTACGCAGAGCTGCGAATGTGCTGCGTAGGACAAAGCGATACTCCCTGTAGATCGAATGAGTCAACCTCAAGTTCGAAAGCAGGCCTCGAAGAGCCGCAAGCAGGGGGCAAATACCTGAAGCTCTGCTGAGTTCTTCCATCACGATACAGTGCGCTTGATAACCCATTCCAAGTCCACCATACTCCTCGTTGGCAGTGACACCAAGAAACCTAATGAAACACAATTAGCTGCTGTATGGTACGAAAATGCCTTGAAGCACTAACCCAGCGTCTCCAAGCTTCTTCCACATCTCTACTGGGAACTCATTCTGTGAATCTGTCCGAGCGGCGACCTCCTCGGGTATTTCGCGCCCTTGAATACGCATAAGTATCGGAGAAGGCCAGAGATAACGTGAGAATCGGATGACAAAAGCCTCATAACATACGTGTGAACTCTTGTACTCGCTCTCTCAGCTCCAGCAGCTCGTCCTCGGTGGGCGGTACGAATCCTTTGGGATGTTTTGTTGCCAACGACCTTGATGCGGGGGTGTAGATGAGCGGCGTCCTCATCCTGCGAAGGGTCCTGGACGAAGTCCGAAATAGAGACGCTACGGAAGCCATTGTGAATGAGAATAAACACTCTTCCAGGAGTGATTTGAGAAGTCTCAGGTAACGAAAAGGAATGATCAATATTTAGCAAAAGCAAAGCCGAGGATGGTTGCATTTACATAGCGATGCGAGGCGGAGAGAGGAGCGGGCCTGAGGCCAACGGCGGGTAAACGCGGCAATCGTCGCTATGTCTTCTCCGCAGCCGATCAAGCTGGAGTCCGGGGACTCCATCGTCATGCCCTTCTTTTTCTTCTCCATCACCAACCCGCAGTCTTTCCCTTCTCAAAATCACTTCCCACTCTCCTAAGGACACTGTCCTGTCTTCTGAGACTACTCTTAAAATTCCAGTCAAGGCCATGCCATAAATACCCCCAGACATCGGCTGAGCATCAACATTTCCTTTTACTCCAAGTCATCCCCGCAATGCGTGCCCCATCTCCGCTCCTCCGGGGCTTGTGCTCCAGAGCAGCCGCCCTTCCGTATCCTCGACGATTGCCGACACAAAGAAATCTGGGTTTAATATACTCCCGCATCTCGTCACGATCTGTGGCCAGCTATACGCATCCGCATCATGCCAGCGCCATTTCCGTGCTCCCCACTGCGGTGGACACCACCTCCGCTGAATTCCAGGAGAATGCGCAACAAATGAGAGAGTTGGTGGACCGAATGGCCAGTCTACACAAGACCATTGCACAGGGAGGACCGCAAAAAGCTAAGGAGAAGCATGTCGCTCGAGGAAAGATGCTCCCGCGCGATCGTGTCACTGCGCTCATCGATCCAGGGACGTCCTTCCTGGAGCTTTCACCCCTAGCTGGCCATGACGTCTATCCCGGGGAGGACGTACCCGCTGGAGGCATTATTACAGGCATTGGTCAAGTGGAGGGTGTTACCTGTATGATCGTGGCTAATGACAGCACTGTCAAGGGAGGAACATACTACCCCATTACCGTGAAGAAGCACCTCCGCGCGCAAGCAATTGCCCAGGAGAACAAGCTTCCATGTCTCTACCTTGTCGATTCGGGCGGTGCCAATCTCCCCCACCAGGCAGATGTCTTCCCTGACAAGGAGCATTTCGGACGCATCTTCTTCAACCAGGCCAGAATGAGTTCTCTCGGGATCCCTCAGATCTCTGTGGTCATGGGACCCTGCACAGCAGGAGGCGCCTATGTCCCTGCCATGAGCGATGAGACTATCATTGTCGAGAACCAGGGAACAATCTTCCTGGCTGGTCCTCCTCTGGTCAAGGCAGCGACGGGTGAAGTCGTCTCCGCGGAAGATCTGGGTGGTGGCCAGCTACACAGCACCATCTCCGGTGTCACTGATTATTTGGCAGTGGACGATGCCCATGCCATTGTCCTCGCCCGGAGATCCGTCGCCAATCTCAACTACCCTAAAACAAGCGTACCTCAGGTCTCCGCAGATACCATCAAGGAGCCGCTCTATGACCCAGCTGAGCTCGACGGCATCGTCGGAACCAATCTCCGCCGGCAGATACCAGCCCACGAAGTCATTGCCCGTATTGTCGATGGCAGCGAGTTTGCAGAGTTCAAACGTGACTACGGAACCACCCTTGTGACTGGATTTGCTCGT